TTGGAAGTTTGGCCCAATTCTGTCACTGGTGGGGTTTGGAATGCTCTTTGATTGTAGGTGAACTATAAATCCCAGCAACTACAACTCCCAAATGTCAAGGTCTATTTTCCCCAAACTCCACCAGTGTTCACATTTGGGCATATTGAGTATTTGTGCCAAGTTTGGTCCAGATCCAACATTGTTTGAGTCCACAGTGATCTCCGGATGTAGGTGAACTACAACTCCAAAACTCAAGGTCAATGTCCACCAAGCACGTCCAGGATTTTCTGTTGGTCATGGGAGTTCTGTATGCCATGTTTGCTCCAATTCCATCATTGGTGGAGTCCAGAAGGCTCTTTGATTGTAGGTGAACTATAAATCCCGGCAACTGCAACACCCAAATGACAAAATCAATCCCCTCCAACCCCACCAGTATTCAAATTTGGGCATATTGGGTATTTCTGCCAAATTTGGTCCAGCAAATGAAAACACATCCCACATAACGGATATTTACATTATAATTCACAACAGTAGCAAAATGACAGTTATGAAGTAGCAACGAAAAGAATTTTGACAAAGGTTTTTTCTCCCACCATGGACATTATTCCACAGGTGTATATACACACGCCACTTGCCACCCTTCCAACAGAGCCTCTGAAGATGCCAACCACAGATGCAGGCGAAATGCAAGGAGAGAATACTACTGGAACATGGCCATACAGCCCAAAAAACTCACAGCAACTCAAAGAATATATCTTCTGGAAAGGCAGAGGTCATACCGTACTGCCTTCCAAATGAGCTTCCCTAAGTAATTTCCTTCAGCAACTTTGTCTTCTGGGAAAACAATTTACTTTTAAAACATCTTCCTAATCAGTGTGTGTTGTTCCATACATTTTTCTTAAATGAGAAAAATAACTAAATAAGTAGGAAAGATGCTTCAGCAGGAAATAAGTAGGAAGTTGCTTCTAATTTTTGGGGTTGGGCTGTAGCACAGCTGGTAAATCACCAGCAGCAATAGATCACTGCCGACCAAAAGGTTGCCAGTTCGAAGCCCGGTCGGGGTGAGCAGACACGGTCTGATTGCTCAACGTTTTCTCTACTAGTCTAGAATCATAGAATCATAGAGTTGGAAGAGACCTCATGGGCCATCCAGTCCAACCCCCTGCTAAGAAGCAGGAAAATCGCATTCAAAGCACCCCAGACACATGGCCATCCAGCCTCTCTTTAAAAGCCTCCAAAGTAGGTGTTTCCACCACACTCCAGGGCAGAGAGTTCCACTGCTGAACAGCTCTCACAGTCAGGGAGTTCTTCCTCATCTTCAGGTGGAATCTCCTTTCTTGTAGTTTGAAGCCATTGTTTCATGTCATAGTCTCCAGAGCAGCAGAAAACGAACTTACTCCCTCCTCCCTATGACTTCCCCTCACATCTTGATACATGGCCCTCATCATGTCTCCTCTCAGCCTTCTCTTCTTCAGGATTAGTATGCCCAGCTCTTTAAACCACTCTTCATAGGGCTTGTTCTCCAGACTCTTGATCAGTTTAGTGGCCCTCCTCTGGACACATTCCAGCTTGTCAATATCTCTCTTGAATTGTGGTGCCCAGAATTGGACACAATATTCCAGGTGTGGTCTGACCAAGGCAGAAAGAGGGGTAGCATGACTTCCCTGGATCTATACACTATGCTCCTATTGATGCAGGCCAAAATCCCATTGGCTTTTTTTGCCACCATCACATTGTTGGCTCATGTTTAACTTGTTGTCCATGAGGACTCCAAGATCTTTTTCACACGTCCTGCTCTTGAGCCAGGCATTGTCCCCCATTCTGTATCTTTGCATTTCATTTTTCTGCCAAAGTGGAGTATCTTGCATTTGTCACTGTTGAACTTCATTTTGTTAGTTTTGGCCCATCTCTCTAATCTGTCAAGATCGTTTTGAATCCTGCTCCTGTCCTCTGGAGTATTGGCTATCCCCCCAATTTGGTGTCATCTGCAAACTTGATGATCATGCCTTCTAACCCTTCATCTAAGTCATTAATAAAGATGTTGAACAGGACCGAGACCAGGACATGTTCAACTGCTTCTGCTCCAATGAGAAGCATTGTTGTTCACGGGTGGATCGTTGCATTTCTCGTTTTTGCCAGACCCCAATGCAAACCTATAAACAGCTTTTTTGTTTTGTTTCAAGAGCAAAGTTCCTTTCGTGTATCTTGCTCTAGATTTTGTGTTGCATTTCCCCTGCCTTGCCTGCTTTCCCATCTCCCTTCCCTGAATCAAGAGAAAGGAGGTAGAGAAAGGAAACAAAGGGAACTCCAAAGTCTTGCTCCTCCTTCCCTCCCCTTCAATACCAAGCAAACAAGGCAAGAGCTGGCACCCCAGGAGGAGGGGGGCAGGCAGATCCCTTTGTGCCCCATCCATCCATTTCCTCCTCCTGGCTCCATCCCTTACCTGCATTTGGCCAAAGGTGCAGAGCTTCCCTCCTTCCTTCCTCCTGGATGGATCCCTGCGGCTGAGATTCCTCAGCCTGGGCCCTTTGCCCAGCAGGACAGGCCCCTTCTTTCCTTCCTTCCTTCCTTCCTTTCCCTCCCCCTTCCCTTTCCATTCAACTCAGCCAGATGTCAAGCACAAGGGATCCTGGGAGCTGTAGTGTACAATGTGTGCAATGTGACATGCACATCTTAATAATGAAAATCAGGTCAGTCGGCTGGTGACCGTGGAATCGGCTTATAGAGAGCAAGGAGCGGAGAGAGCAGAGAGTGAACCAGAGAGCACAAGGAGGCCTTTTCCATTCCAAAGGCCCCACTCCTCTCTGTGTTCTTTTCACATGACAAGCTACACAAAATATCTATTTCTTTGTTCTGCATATGAATGTAGCAAGAAATCCAAAACACAATTATTACTTTCATGTGCAAATTCATATTTTTGTACGATAAAGATATAAACAAGGCAATCAGCCGCAAGAAAATTAATGTCCGGTGACAGGATATTCTTGCATTGTTGTTGTTTATTCGTTCAGTCGCTTCCAACTCTTTGTGACCTCATGGATCGGCCCATGCCAGAGCTCTGTGTCGGCCATCACCACCCCCAGCTCTTTCAAGGTCAAGCCGGAAGCTTCAAGGATACCATCCATCCTTCTTGCCCTTGGTCGGCCCCTCTTCCCTTTTCCCCAGCATCGTTCCCTTCTCTAAGCTTTCCTGTCTTCTCATGATGTGGCCAAAGTACTTCATCTTTACCTCTAATATTCTTCCCTCCAGTGAGCAGTCGGGCTTTATTTTCTGGAGGATGGTCTGGCTGGCTCTTCTTACAGTCCAAGGCACTCTCAGAACTTGGGCTCTTTTCTCAGGCCCTCCTCTCATCATGCTATCCTTCCTTCCTTCTCTTTTTCCTCCCTTCTTCTCTTTCTTTCTTACCTCCCTTTCTCCATCCATCCTTCCTGCCTTTCCACCCTTTTGTCCTGCCTTCTTTCCTCCCTTTCTCCTTCCTTCCGTTTCCCTCCCTCCCTCCCTCCCTCCGTCCCTCCCTCCCTTCCTTCCTTCTTTCCTTCCTTCCCTTGCCTTCCTCCCTTCCCCCTTTCCTTCCTCCTTTCCTCCTGGGGGATGTTTAGCTGGGAGAAGGAAGAGAGGGAACATGAGAACAATTTTTAAACATTTCAAAGGGTGTCCATTGAGGAGGAAGGAGGAAACAGACTTTCTGCCGCTCTAGAGACCAAGGCACAAGGCAGCAATGGGTTCAAATAGCAGGGAAAGAGATTCGACTGAAAACATTAGGAAGAACTTTCTGAGAGTAAGAGCCATTGGAGAATGGCATAGGCTGCCTCCGGATATGGTGGAGCTTCCTTCTCTAGAGGCTTTTCAGCAGAGGCTGTCTACCGGGAGTGCTTTGATTATACCTTCCTACATGGCAGGGTGTTGGACTGGATGGTCCTCGGGGGTCTCTTCCAGCTCTAGGATTCTGTATCAGGAGGAGGCAATATGGAGTCTAATATATACCCTTTTTCTCTCCCGTCAACTATCTCATCATGTCCAAGACCAACCCTTTTGGGATCCAAATATTTTCCGTCTTTCCTTTACTTTCTGCCTCCGAAAGAGAAGAGGGAGGAAAGGGCAAGGAGGGGGCTTGGGGAGAATCCCCTCCCTCCCAGCCCATCCACCCTGCTCCGGCCTGCCATACGGCCCACAAGCTAGAACGTTTGCTCATGCCTGGGCTAGAGGGACAAAAAGGAGGCTGGAGAAAAGGGACAATTTGGCTGCTCTCCTTTGGTTTGAAGCCGGCTCTTTATAGAACGGGCTGCAGACGCTGTTTAAATGGGGTAATAGTTTTCATTTATTACTTAAAACAAACCAACAAAGGTTTATTGTGAGTTTTCCAGGCTGTATGGCCATGTTTCAGAACATGGACATACAGCCTGGAAAACTCACAGCAACCCAGTGATAAAAAGTCATTCCTGTATTCCAGGGGTCCCCAAACTCCGACTGATGGTCCGGATATGGCCTTCCAAGTTGATGCTCTCTCATCAGCCAAAAGCACGCCCACACTTAGAATAATAGAATCATTGAATTGTAAGAGACCTCGTGACCCATCCATCCAACCCCCTGTCAAGAAGCAGGAAAATTGCATTCAAAGCACCCCCAACAGATAGAATCATAGAATCAAAGAGTTGGAAGAGACCTCATGGGCCATCCAGTCCAACCCCCTGCCAAGAAGCAGGAATATTGCATTCAAATCACCCCTGACAGATGGCCATCCAGCCTCTGTTTAACAGCTTCCAAAGAAGGAGCCTCCACCACACTCCGGGGCAGAGAGTTCCACTGCTGAACGGCTCTCACAGTCAGGAAGTTTTTCCTCATGTTCAGATGGAATCTCCTTTCTTGTAGTTGAATACCTATGAAAAGGCAGAAACGCCGTGGGAAGGCCATTGCCTGACCCCATTTGAAAGAGTCAAAATTAACATTAGTAAAACCCATGAGATAATGTCCTCCACATAGGATGAAAGTGTGTGCGTCAGAAACGGTGAGAGACAGAAAGGTCAGAGTCGCACATTAAATTTATTTGTAGCTCTTATTTACTCTTAAAAAAACACAATAGAGGAAAAACAAAACACAAGGAGAACTCAAAGGGGGGGGCAGTCTAAGTGCCATCGGAAGAAATGAGGGGGTAGTACACACACCTATGTGCTCACATCCACACTCCCTCTGCTTTGCAGAAGCAGAATGTTCTCTCACACACATCCACTCTCACACACACATACAGGATTGCAGTCAGCAGGACAGGACACCCCACCTCTCATTCCCTTTTCGTTTGCTCAAACACAGCACTCTCTTTGCAGCGACCTCCAGGGAGCACTAGAAACAGGCAGGAAGCCTTTGGAAGAAGGGCAGTGCTGAGGCTTTGAGATCCAGCTGCGGAAGAAGGCAGATGTCGGGCAGCAGGAAGTCATCCCTAAAGAGCAGCAAAGAGATGTTCCACGCTGACCCCACCTTGGAGGCAGCGGCTGAGATCGGACTAGGAGCCAGCAAGGAAAAAGGAGGATGTGGAGGAGGGGAGGAAACGTCTCTGAAGAGATAGGCCCAGCCATCCCACACAACGGGTGCCAGCTACTCGGAAGTGGTTATCCGTCCCTTGTGTGGACTCAGCTCCAGCTGAGGGCAGGCTGTGCGTTCGTCACCTGGTCCATTCATTGCCCTGGTGCACGGGGCACAGTTCCCAAGACTGTGTGCGTACCATTGTCCCAGGGCTTCTTCCACCCTCCCGGCTGGGCCCAGCTAGCCTCCTCCCCGCTCCTCTCCAAGGTAAAGGGTGCGATGCGGGTGCCGCCTGGCAGAGGACAAAGCGGAGCGATGGGACCGCAAAGCCGTGCGGGTGGCCCTGCCGGTGAAGGATGGTGGGGAGGGCTGGGTGCGGTTGTCAGGGGCTGCCTCCTGGCGCCGCAGGAAAGGGGGCACCGTGGAGCTCTTGATGTGGATCACCCGGGTGTCCATCACCTCACAGTCAATTTGCATCATCACCTCATAACCGAGGGAGGAATTATACAGGCTCTCTAGTGGGAGAGAAAAAAAAATGAAAACAGTAAAAGAGAGGCTCTATAACAAATGCATTTTCATCAAGGGCGACATCTGCCTTACAGTTGCCTTCAAAGAGTTGTTGGAATCCATGGATGGAGAAAATATGGATAGAGAGAGCCAACTATTATTTTTTGTATACCTTCCTCAAGTCTAATGGGCCCTCAAATCTAATGCGCACCTCAAGTTTCAAAACCCTGAAACCAAAAAAATTGGAAAAAAGGATTTGCTGCCAAATAGAATGCATAGCAGAAAAAAGTGCACTTTTTGTCATTTGGCCATTACAGTTGATTAAAAACAAAAGTGTTAGGGCACCAAATCTTCCAGCAAAGCAAAGGAAAGATGCGGTGCATCTATGCTGTAGAACAGGGGTCCTCAAACTTTTTAAACAGAGGGCCAGGTCACAGTCACTCACACTGTTCGAGGGCAAGATTATAATTTGAAAAAGCATGAATGAATTCCTATGCACACTGCACATATCTTATTTGAAGTGCAAAAAAAAAAACACTTAAAAACAATACAATAATTAAAATGAAGAACAATTTTAACAAATTTAAACTTAATAGTATTCAATGGGAAGTGTGGGCCTGCTTTTGGCTGATGAGATAGGATTATTGTTGTTGTTGTGTGCTTTCAAGTCGTTTCAGACTTAGGTTGACCCAGAGCGAGGGCCGGGTAAATGACCTTGGGAGGGCCGTATGCGGCCCCCGGGCCTTAGTTTGAGGATCGCTGCTGTAGAATGAATCCACTTTAACTGCCTTGGTTCAATGTTATGGAGTCATGGAGGTTGTCATTTGACAAGGTCTTGAGTCTTCTCTGCCAAAGAATGCTAATGCCTCACCAACCTACAAATCCCAGGATTGCATGGCACTGAGCCCTGGCCATTAAATTAGAGATGACGTACCCCCAAGAGGAGCTTCAGGTGCAGCTCCTAAAGCAGCTTCCCCTTTGGCTTTGGTTCTGCACTAAGATTACATCATCATCATCATCATCATCATCATCATCATCATCATCATATTATCATCTGTATTCACCATGCATTGCTGTGGCCAACCTTCCCTCCCCCTTTCTCTCCTTTCTTCCTTCCCTTTTTTCTTTCCTTCTCTCCTTCCTTCCTTTCTCTACCTCTTTCCTTGTTTCCCCTCCCTTTATCTTTCCCTTTTTTGGTAAGGTAATTTAGCCAAAAAAGGTGAGCATTAGATCCAAGTAAATAGGGTAGTGGCCTGTGCTCTTTAGTTCTTACCTAGTTCGGGTCCCTAGATGTTATTAAACAACAACTTATTTTCGATTATCCACCATGCAGACTGGGGATAATGGGGATTTCAGTTCAATAGCACTTATGGTTCTGAGGTTGGAGAAAGGTTAAAGAACATTTTAAAGTCAGACATTATATTCACAAGCCTTGTATCTAAATTCAAACCCTGACAAAACAGAACAAAGTGCAACCTTCTAAATGCTACTGTTTCTAAACTCCCATCAGCTCTAGTCATGGTGTCTAATGATGTGGAATACAGGAGCTTAGTCCATTAACAGCCAGATTCGGCCCGTAGGCCTTGAGATTGACACATATACTCTATGATCACTGACTATCCACAAACACATTCACTTTACCATTGAGGGCCATGGCCGGCATCACCAGTGACATTTTGGGCCGAGAGGTCTTGTTGTGGCTGATGGCTGGCAGCAGTAAGTGGTCCTAAGATCAAGAGGGAAAGCAAAATCCATGATTCCTGCCAATACAGAATGCCCTCAGTGTACATGTTTATAAGTTAATCCGATCTTTCCCAAACTGGCACATCCTACAGATTTGGTAAGACTACTATTTTGCAGTGGGAGGAAGACGAGGTTGAGGAAAAACGACAAAGGGCTTCCATTCTAAAATTCAATACACAGAAAGCAGCAGTGTGGGAATACAAATAGATGGCAAGATCAATTCATATTTCACATTACATTTTTATTTATATAAGATTTATTTCCAGTATTTCTACCCCATCCTTCTCAACCCCCAAAGGGGGACTCAGGATGGTTTACATTTGGCACAATTTGATGCCATTAAATATAACAAAGCAATATAACAACAATTAAAACAATAAATAGAACATTAATTAAAACAATTAAAACAATTAAAACAGCATTAACCGCTGTATCACCATTCCAGTCAAATTCCAATCTAAAGCTTACAATGTATTTCTGCAAAACCATTTCTGTCACCGAGTGCCACCACTCACCCTGCGGAAGGATACTACATAAAAGGTATCTTCTCGGCGATCAATGGCATCCATGAAATCGTGTTCCGTGTGATCAGGGTGCTGATATACCTGTAGCGGATGCAGGGATTCTCTGGAACCACAAAGAAGGTGTGTACTAAGGAAAGAGGACTTTTCTAAATGAGTTTCCCCCACCAACACTTCAATCATGGGGCACACAAATAAGCCCTATGATGGGAAGAAGCCAAGAAAAGGGAATGAGGAGGCGATGTGTGAAGTGAACCACAGAGAGATGAATATCTAATACATTTCTGACAACTGCCCCAGGAAGAAAGGAACAAAAAACAAAAGCAGACAGACATGGGTTGCTATGAATTTTATAGGCTGTATGGTCATTTTCCAGAAGCATTCTCTCCTGACGTTTCACCCACATCTATGGCAGGCATCCTCAGAGGTTGTGAGGTCTAGGAAAATTGGATTTATATATCTGTGGAATGTCTAGGGTGGGAGAAAGAACTCTGTCTGTTTGAGGCAAATGTGAATGTTGCAATTGATCAGCATTTAATAATCTTGCAGCTTCAAGGCTTGGCTGCTTCCTGCCTGGGGGAATCCTTTTTTTGGGAGGTGTTAGCTGGCCCTGATTGTTCCATGTCAGGAATTCCCCTGCTTTTTTTTAGTGTTGCTCTTTATTTACTGTCCTGATTTTAGAGTTTTTAAATACTTGTGGCCAGATTTTGTTCATATTCATGGTTTCCTCCTTTCTGCTGAAATTGTCAACATGCTTGTGGATTTCAATGGCTTCTCTGTGTAGTCTGACACTGAACTGGACTATTCTAACTTATGGGCTATGCAAAAGGGCCTTTTTGAGCGTCTCTTAGTAAAAAATTTACTGATAACAAAAAGCAGTTATCAAGTTCTTCATTCCTTACTTGATCCATAGATTTTACTAGCATAGCAGTTAAAGCTATAGAGTTTTTGATGTGTCTGGACTGCCATAATCACTTGATGCTACTGTAGTCAATAAGGAACAAACTGTAATCTACTGACCAGCCCTTTCAGGTCCGGAGTGCTCAAATAACTCAACACAAAGAATAAAGTACAGCTGGAGTTTGCTTCTAGGGAGCCCCACAGATACCAAAATCTATGGATGCTTCAGTTCCATTATATACAATTAACCATCATGGAGGTTAAGATCATCTGGGGAGGTCCTGTTCTCGGTCCCACCTCCGTCGCAAGTATGGTTAATGGGGATGAGAGACAGGGCCTTCTCAGTGGTGGCTCCTCGGCTCTGGAACTCTCTCCCCAGTGAGATTATTTCAGCGCCCTCCCCTCTGGCCTTTAGAAAGAAAACAAAGATGTGGTTGTGGGACCAAGCCTTTATTTATATTTTTATTCATTTACCGCATTTATATCCCGCCTTTCTCAGCCCGAAGGCGACTCAAGACGGCTTACAAGTTGGCAGCATTTCGACGCCACAACAAACATAAAATACAGTTTAAAAACATTAGTACATAGGAATAAAATCATACAAAACATTAATAAATAATGCAGTACAAAGAAGGAACAAGTGCAAAGGCAATTTGGAATGGCTATGGTATATGATCTCTGGATCATGGGATTTTAATGTTTATACTAGGATGATTTTATGCTTGTCTGAATGTTTAAATTTGATGTATGTCTTATATGTAATGGTTTTAATTGATTTTAAGTTCTTAGTTATATGTAGTAATTAGTTATTATGATTTCTTTGTGTACTGTATGTTGGCACTAAATATTTGCCATTAGTATGTTGCCGTTCGGAGTCCCTCCATGGAGATAGAGAAGAACGGGATATAAAAGTTCTAAATAAATAAATTGTAAACCGCCCTGAGTGCCCCCAGGGGTGAGAAAGGTGGTACATACAGTAAATAAATAGATAAGATAAATATATAATGGCAGAGTAAAAAGCCATTCCTGATATAAAATGGCAAAATCAACACCTGCCTTTTGGGATATCTTTTAAAATATTTCCAAGCTGTGGATGGTTGAATCTGTGGATACTAGAGAAATATGGAAATAGGAATAAAGGTATCACAAACATATGTTATGGAAAAAGACAGTTCTGGAGAAACCAGGCTGCCCAATAAACCACAACGAGTGACGTCAAGAAACAACAGAAATGAATGACAGACTTCCCTATTTGAGGACATTCTTACCTCTCCATGTGCCTCGGGGGGTGGGCAGGAACAAACCTGGAGGGGTTTGGAGGCATTTTTTGTTGTTTGCCCTAAAATGCAGAACAGAGAAACAAAGAAATATATGAAAGATAGAGCTGAAGGCAGAGATGGAAGACTCTGCCACCAAAAGAAAAACCTGACCATTCGCTCTCATGGATCAACATGAGGAGGGAGCAGGCTTGTGTTCGGCTGCCCTAGAGACTATAATAATAGTAATAATAACAAACCTTTCTGTTCTGTCTGTCTCTGTATTGTCCACCCAAAATGGTATTGAATGTTTGCAATTAATGTGAACTGTGATCTGCCCTGAGTCCTCTTGGGGAGCTAGGGAGGAATATAAAGTGTTGTTGTTATATTTGTATCCCGCCACTGTCTCCCAGAGGGACTCAGGGCGACTCACAGAACACTCAAGGTGTGACATTCAAAATACAACAAGTGCACAACAAAACATAATAAACAGTCAACATAACGTCACAATTTCATAGTACCCCCTGGTTAAAAACAATAAAATACAGCAAATTCTGTAGGTCAAAACAGCAGGACTTGATGGTTTCAAATGACAGGAAAGGAGATTCCACCTGAACACCAGGAGGAATTTCCTGACCAGAAGAAGAGCTGTTCAACAGTGGAACTCTCTGCCTGGGAGTGTGGTGGAGGCTCCTTCCTTGAGGTTTTTAATCAGAGTCTGGATGGCCATCTGTCGAGGGTACTTTGATTGTGTTTTTCCTGCATGGTAGGGGTTTGGATTAGATGGCCCATATACTGTATATACTCYAGTATAAGCCTAGTTTTTCCAGTCCTTTTTTTAGGCTGAAAAAGTCTCCCCRYGCTTATACTAGAGTCAAGGRTATTTATTATTTTACTTTGTTGTTGTTGTTGTTGTTATCATTATTGTTGTTGTTTTACTTTATTATTGTTATTACATTAATATCTATTATTGTACTCTGTTTATTATTGTTACATTTATTATTTTACTCTATTTATTATTGTTATTATTACATTTATTATTTTACTCTATTTATTATTATTATTATTTTACTCTATTTATTATTATTGGAAGGATACCTAAGCAWATTTACATTGAAGGTTAGAACAAATGGTTGAATCAGAGTTGGACAGTCTTATGTTGAATTACAGTTTTATGTAAATATTCAAAAACATTTAACCTACTGATGCCTCAATTAATGTAATTTTATTGATATCTATTTTTATTTTGAAATTAACCCATAAATGCTGCATTTCCCACCCTTGGCTTATATTTGGGTCGGCTTATACTCGAGTATATACGGTAGTTCCTTCCAATTCTATGATTCTATTATTCTATCAACTCCAAAGCTTTCCAGTAAACTAATAATAATAATAATAATAATAATAATAAACCTTTATTTATACCCCGCTAACATCTCCCGAAGGACTCGGAGCCCCTTACAAGAGGCCGAAAACATCAATAAAACAACAGCATAACAAATACAACAATAAATAAACTCATAAAACAAGCAATAAACATTAAAGCAATAGCAATAAACATTAGACAATAACACCATGATGCATTTAAAACTAAGGCCGGGCCAAATGTAATGATTAAAATTAAAATAATTAAAATAATATTCTGTATATCAGGCCCTCCCACAAAACACACACACACTACACTACACCAAGGCTCTGGTGTTCATAATTGTGTGCCCATTACTTTTTCCCTTTAAGTTGGTCTTTTCTGCCATACCTGGCTAGCTTGTGCTGCTTTACGAGACTGCGAGGGTTTCCTCCGGTTGATCTGGTGTCGCCGAACCCAACCGCTGAGCTCATCTGCCAACCTGCAGGTAAGTGGGAGAACAGGCAAAAGGAGGGTCACTCCCAATGGTCCTAGGACTGACCCAATGTTCCCAAAAGGCCACAGTGCAAGCAGAACGCCAGAAATGTTTATCCACAAACACATCTGCATTGGAGGGCCATGTGGGACCAAAGCAAAGGTCTGTCTACTCCAGCATTCTGTCCACTCTGCTGCCAAATAGGTAGTCCACAGAAAAAAAATGACTGGAACAGTACTCTGCAGTTTGTTTTGCCCAGTGAGTGGTATATAACTGCATCTGCTAGAGATAATATGCAGCCCTCCTGACCAACCCTCCTGCCACCGGATCTACCTGAGTGATTCAGTGCGGTTGAACTGGCGGCAATCTGAAGTGAGGAAGAGCTTGTTGATGTCCCTCAGCATGAGGTCCTTCATCTCTGAGAAGGGCGCTGAGAGGTTCCTGCAATTGGGGGAGAAAGGCAGACAAAACTGAAATACTGAATATCAACGACAAAGAGACATGGCCGTTCAGCATGAGCCAAAAAAACCACACACAGAGCCATTTGTGAGCGGTGAGGAACTTATGGCAGGTTACCAAACACAGAGCACAATGTATCAAAACTGCAACTAGACTGACTAAATAATATAGGTGCTATTTAACAAAAATTGGAAATGCTTCCTCTTTCTAGTGGATATGCTGGAAGGAGGATTTGGGAAATTACAGCTCCCCATGTTCTGCTACTGATTTGTGCGAGTGGCTGGGAAATATTGTTATTGTTGTAATTTCCATGTATTGTCGAAGGCTTTCATGGCCAGAATCACTGGGTTGCTGTAAGTTTTCGGGCTGTATAGCCATGTTCCAGAAGCATTCTCTCCTGACGTTTCACCTGCAACTATGGCAGGCATCCTCAGAGGTTGTGAGGTCTGTTGTCCTCCAACAGGCAAGAGTTCTTTCTCCCACCCTGGACATTCCACAGATATATAAACCCCATTTTCCTAGTTTCCAATTGACCTCACAACCTCTGAGGATGCCTGCCATATATGCAGGTGAAATGTCAGGAGAGAATGCTTCTGGAACATGGCCAGACAGCCCAAAAACCTTACAGTAGGCTGGGCTTACTTTTTCATTTAACAGCCTGCCTGAATATAGGGAGGGACCATTCTGGCTTCCCTGAAAAGGTAGTTCCAGAATCCAGGGGCCACAACTGAGAAGGAAGGCCCTCTCTTTTGTCCCCACCAACCTGCTTGGGATGGGAGTGAAACTGAGAGAAGGCCCTCTCCTCAGGATTTCAGGGCCCAGGCCAATGCAAACACAAAATATTATTTCTAATTCTCATGACTGACAAGAATATTGAAGCAGTCCCCCATGCCAACTTTTTTGGCACATTCTGGTTTTGGGTTTTGTTTTTGTTTTTTTGGCAGCGCCTTGTTATTTCTCCCCTGCAGTCTAGACACCCAAATTACCGGAATGATGTCTTCCCAGGCTTGGCTGGGGCCTCGTATTGCCGCTCTTCCTGCTGCTCCTCCTCTGGAATGTCAGGCAATTCCCCTGCGATTCCTAAAAGATGCCTCTGTCCTGGGAGAGGCTCCACTTCCTGCTTGGGAAGGGCCACGTCTGTCACCTTACGCTCACTGATGCTAGAGAGATGGGAAAACAGAGTCAATGCCATAGAAACTGCTGGGAGACTTTATAGAGAATTAACACCGATCTACGTTGCAATATAAAATAAGGTCGTTAACAGGACTGGCTATCACACAGCTTGACACAATTCTTCTTGGGAAGGAGAAAGTGTGTTAAGGGCAGCAAGATGGACCAGCCTCCATATTGATGCTGAAGGGCTTGATATACCAAAACTAGAATGCAAAGCTAATCAGACTTCAAACAGATGAGAAAGTAAATACATGATCAAACTATGTGCAAAAAATTGGAAACTTATGCGGTAGTTTAAAAGCTAACAATTGTAGCATCCCCATTCATTGACAAGAGTCCTCTTTGCCAGATGCCTGAAGACATTAATTGGAGTTGGAGGGTAAAAGTGCGCTTGGTGGGAACAAGGGACAGGGTCTTCTTGGCGGTGGCCCCACACCTGTAGAACTCACTCCCCAGTGAGATCAGGTCGGCGACTTCCCTCCTTTCTTTCAGAAAGAAGGTTAAATCGTGGTTCTGGGACCAGGCCTTTGGACAGCAAGCATGACAGCACTTTGAATGTTGAATGGGACTGGAATTGGCTATATGGATTGATGACAATGTTTTAAATGTGTTTAACTTAATGTTGTATTTACTGTTTTAAACTGTTGATATATTTGTTTATATTTGTATTATCTTGTGGCATCGAATTGTTGTTGATGAAAGCCATCCTACGTCCCCCCTTGGGGTTGAGAAGGGCGAGTTAGAAATGTGGGAAATAATAGTAATAGTAATAATAATAATAATAATAATAATAATAATAATATACAGTCAGCCCTCCACATTCATTGGGGTTGAGGTAATGGGATAATGGATTATGACTTGTTAGGATCAAAACCTATTGGGATAAAGATCACAACCTGTTGAGGATTATGGATTATGACCTGTTAGGATCACAACCTGTTGAGGATTATGGATTATGATCTGTTAGGATCACAACCTATTGGATAGCAGAGTTATGAAGGTGTTCCTTTAGTTTATTGAGTAATGGATGGTTGCTGGGCTCGTAAATATCTTGTTTCTATTCAATAACTTCAGCAGACAAAGATTCAAATAGTCTTCTTTTAAAATAACTTGTTTGTTTTACTCATAACTGTCAGAAATATTAAAAATTGACTAGGTATTTTTAATTACAAAAATGTGAGTCAAGCACCGAAAGGCTTAAATGGATACAATAACTCAGCAAAAGCTGCAGTTCAATATAACCAGGTGTGTCTGTAGCTTAGTAGCTGTTAAGTCTGAGGGAGCCCTCAGTGTTAAATCACCCTCAGTCTGTGAGAGGTTTCTGTGGGAGAAAGGCCTCAGTGTGTTAGTAGGCCTCAGTATGAGAAGGCCTCAGTGTTAGTTCGCCTCAGTGGGAGAAAGGCCTCAGTCTGAGAGAGCCCTCAGTGGGAGAAGGCCTAAGTGGGAGAAAGGCCGCAGTGTTAGCAGGCTTCTGTGTGAGAAGCTTCTGTGAGAGAAACCCCAGGTTGAAGGCCATTGTGTGTGAAGCTTCAATGTGAAGGCTGCTGTGTAACTCTGGTGTGAGAAGAGGCTCTGTGAGAGTGAAGCTGTTTATCTGCAAGCAAAATAGTGCATCCATATTGTTTTGCTATTTAAAAAAAGCCTCCTATGGAAGAGATAACATTGTGTTTTTGTTTTTTTCATCACTTTTGGCTACTGGTGCTAGATCACGCTGCTGCTAATAAGTTACTCTGCTGTGCATTTATGAGGAGGGTATTTTGCTAATAAGCCTACTTGCCCAACAATAACTTCATGTATTTAAATATATAGGCACATTTCTTGTCAGGTTAAAGCTTTAAAACATTTCATTTGTATCTTTCACTTATTGTCTTCAACAGTCTCTTCAAAAACTATATTGCCCTGAAGAGTTCTTTTTTCTAAGAGTTTACTTTCAAAGAATTCAAGCATCAACAGTTTTCTAACTTCCTACACTGACATATGACTGAAAAACAGACATCTGTACGCAAGCGGACTAAAGACTTAGCTGTCTTCTAACTTCTATCACTGACTTTTGTATTCTGACTCAAGCCTCAACTGTCATCATGTTTAAACTACATTCCAAACTGTCATATGATCTGCCGCCCCTCCCACTGCCTTGAGTATATAGAGCTAAGGAAACTGCAAACTAAAGAAGACATGCGCTTCAGGAAATAAAATGATACATTATAAACAGACAAACGTCAAATAGAGGAGGCTTGAGAAGGTTGCTATTCCCAACATGGAGGAACAGGACTTCCACAAGAGTGAAAAGCCACAAATAATATTGCTATGTTTTTAAACTTGCAATAACACCTATGTAATATTTTTGAGGGTTCTCTATCATGACTCTACAGTCAACTTCCACCAAGAAGGACGCAGAACCCATTTACGCTGCCATGCAAATCCAGATTATCTGCTTTGAAGTAGATTATATAGCAGTGTAGACTCATATAATCTACTGCAAAGCAGATAATGTGGATCATCTGCTTTGATAAACTGGATTATGTGGCAGTGTAGAAGGGGACTAAGAGAGAACCTGTCAATCCACAAACATGGAAGGTTGACTGTACAAACAAAATGGGGGGATTTAAACAGTGCAATATTTAAGATGCAAATGCATGCTGGTAGATTTCATAAGTGTACAAAAGAACAAGGACTGATGACGAAGTATGATAATTTGTTCATGAGATGAACTACAGAAAATGAGTCACCAAAAAGAACGGGATTTTACTCCTACAGAAAGAAAGTTACCAGGCAAGTCAAGATGAAGAACAGTTTCATCCTAGGAGAAATGGGAAAGGCTTCCTTAACCAGTCTGTTGAGTTTGGCTTGGTCTCCAACAAGCACATACAGGCCCGCAAGATGACTTTATACTCTCTCATAATATAATTAGTATTCCTCAGGGTTCTGGCAGGTTACAAAGGCATACAGACAGAAGATGCCTTGTGACGTTGTGTGTAAATTAGCACTGAGAATGGAGCCTCACCTGACAGGCCCAAAATTGAAGGCTATGAAGAGCAGCACAACCATGACGCAGATGACTTTCCGGTTTCCAGAACCGAATTTCAGCTCGCTGTTCTAAATGGGAAAACAAGAGGCAGACTGTCAGCTACAATGGCATACTCCCCAATTAGAACCAGTGCCTTCTTCATAATGAAGCATATAGCCTTTGTGACTCAATATTGGACCTAACGCCTGTATACTGCAACATACCAGGAGCAAAGTGAGCATGTTGCAGTGGTTTGCATGTTAGGTTAAGATCCTGTAGACCAGATACGAATCCATATGTGGGTATGGAAGCCTACGAGTGACCTTGGACAAGTAACAGTCTTTCAGCCCCAGGGGCAAGCAATGGCAAACCCCTTTGGAACAAACCCTGCCCCCGCCCCCCCGAAAAAAAAGGCAATGACAGGGTTGCCTTAAGGTTACCATATGTTAAAAATAACTTGTAGGCACACACCAATCTTTTCCTTTCCATCCCTTGTCTCTCTTCCCTCAGCCCCTCTGCTATTATTTCCCTTAATAACATGTATTTATTTATTATTTGAACTTATATGCCGCCACTTCCCTGGGGCTCGGAGCGGCTGACAAGAATGGCTAAAATCTAACAAATTTAAAGGCAATTTAAAACAATTTAAAAACAGCAATATCAAACATTAAAAGCCTGTCGAAACAGGTATGTCTTACATGCCCTGCGGAAAGCTGGTAAGTCCCGCAAGGCACGGACTTCAGGTGGCAGAGTATTCCAGAGTGATGGTGCCACTGCTGTGAAGGCTCTGCGTCTGGTTGCTGTTAGACGCAAGGTCTTGACACTGGGGACTTCCAATAGATCTTGGTCCTCAGAACGGAGGGATCTCTGGGGTTGGTAGGGGGTGAGGCGGTCCCTCAGATACATCGGCCCTAGACCATGCAAGGCCTTAAAGGTGAGTACCATCACTTTGAAAGTGATCCGGTGCTCAATTGGTAACCAATGCAGCTGTAGTAAGATTGGTGTTATGTGGCATCTCATCGGAATTAATAATAATAATAATAATAATAATAATAATAACTTTATTTATACTCCGCCACCATCTCCCCAAGGGACGCAGAGTGGCTTACATGAGGCCAAGCCCAACAACATATCAATAAAACAAAAAGCAATAAACAATACAATACAATACAAATTAATATAAATCACATATAGGCAATAACACACAAGGATTTAAAAACCTATGGCCGGACCAAATGTAATAGTTTAAAATTTAAAAAATAAATGCTGGGCATGAACAAGGTAGGATATATCTGGTAGGAGGGTTTTAAAGAAGTGAGGGGAGCGCTTTACCTACCTACTTTCAAGTTAAACTATTCAAGATTTGTTCAGCAGCTGCAAAATGGCAAGTGTCAGTTACAGAGATAAGAAAAAAAGGGAAGTAGAGCAGAATGGCATGGTGTATCCATAATAAGGCCAAGGAGTTCAGTTTCTGACCAGCAGGCACTCACCTCGTTCAGGACACAGTCCAGACGCCGACGGAGGAGAGTGTTCTCCCGCCGCAGCCGGTCATTCTCTGTCAGGGCCTCCCGCAATCGCGACTCCAACCCTTGCAGGTATTCTTTCTTTTTCCGCCGCGACTGGCAGGCTGACTCACGGTTCTTGATCATTCGTTGCTGGCGTTTCAGGACCTTGATCTTCAGGGAAAGAGCAAGAAGATTAACATTATTTATAGTCATATGCCTTCTCGTTTTGAAATGAATAAATAAAGCCCAGATGCCAAATCCAAAATGCACATGGTATTAGACTAACCAAAGGATATATTTCCCCCTGATTTAATGTAAGGAAATTCCTTAAGACAGAATCTCATACATCCCCTGTTTGGGTATCACCCAGCACGTCAACGACTTAAATCAAGAAATAGTTTTCTAAGATCTACAGAGACACTCGCTGGAACACCTAAGCAAGCAAGAGTAAAAAAGTGGCAGGCTCAAACCCAGAACCTCAACCAATGGCTGATACCAAATGAGAGACTTCCCCCTGGGCACACAGAAAACTGGGCGACTTGGAAGGCGCTGAACAGACTGCGCTCTGGCACCACAAGATGCAGAGCCAACCTTAGAAAATGGGGCCACAAAGTAGAATCCACAACATGCGAGTGTGGAGAAGAGCAAACTACAGACCACCTGCTGCAACGCAACCTGAGCCCTGCCACATGCACCATGGAGGACCTTCTTATAGTAGCACCAGAGGCACTCCAAGTGGCTAGCTACTGGTCAAATGACATTTAATCAACTACCAAGCTTGCAAACTTTGTGTTTTGTTTGTTTGTTAAAATGCAATAAAACTGTTTGGTTTGCTCCTGACATGATAAATAAATACATACAGACATTAACAAAGATAATGTGGATTAAACTTTAGATAGAACCCTGGAGGTTATCACTAGCTACTGGCAGCAATACCATTACCTTCTGAAATAACTTACAAAAAACTGGAGAATAGCAACGAAATAATTGCCTTTATTGCAGCTAGATGATGTTGGAACACATTATAGGAGTCCACTGGAGCTGTTGAGAGGAAATCCTGGGACAGGAGTCCCACAAGGCAAAGGAAGGAGAGAGAAAGCGAGACTTAAGTCACACAACTCACATCGACCTCTTGGCTGCAGGTTCCAGTTTGTGTTGGTGCGGGGACAATTGTCTTTGCTTCCGGTTTGGGGGTGGAAGGAGTCAGTTTTGCTGGAAGACTTTCACTCACAGGGGACTGAATCTTGATCAGACCTGACACTGGAAGATGCAGCAGCTCAGATTGGGAGATCACAACACCCTGGGCTGGAACTGAAGAATTAGAAGGAAATGTCAACCTATGCTTTTTCACATGCATATTGCAGTCTGTTTGAAATAAAATAGTTAGCCTCCTGTATCTACGGCAGATTGTTTTCAGGACCCTGTGAAGGTAAAAAATCTAGTTGCTCAAGGCATTAATATATAAGGATTTTATATAAAGTTTGAGCACCACCTGATCCCCTCCACCCCACCCAAACCTCAAAGGCAACTGATACACATGTGAGGGCCAGCAATCAGCTCCTTCTCTTCCTTCCACTCACACTTTTCACTGTCCCATCCTCAGTAGCTTCTTCACGCTCAATTTGGGGGGGGGGGGGACACAGAATTCACCAGGTCCCCTTGCAAGGCCATCAAATGAGGCAGAGGAAAGATTAGGTCTCTCATTCTCTCTCTCTCTCTCTCTCTCTCACACACACACACACATATTTAAACTGCATTTTAAAAATTGAATTTTCAAAATGGTTTTCTATCAGTAATTGAACAGAAAAATGATAGAAAACCATTTTGAAAATTCAATTTTTTTTAAAAAAAAATCTATCAGTAATTGAACAGGAGCCCCCAGTGGCGAAGTGGGTCAAACCCCTGTGCCGGCAGGACTGAAGACCAACAGGTCGCAGGTTCGAATCCGGGGAGAGGTGGATGAGCTCCCTCCATCAGCTCCAGCTCCTCATGCAGGGACATGAGAGAAGCCTCCCACAAGGATGATAAAACATTAATTCATCTGGGCGTCCCCTGGGCAACATCCTTGCAGATGGCCAATTCTCTCACACCAGAARCAACTTGCAGTATCTGAAGTCGCTCCTGACACGACAAAAAGAAGAAGTAATTGAACAAATCTATGAATCCAGAGCCACAGATAGAGATGGCCTGTCTTGAATGAAAACAAGTCTCCTCTGTACCAAGCTCACCTAAAAAAAATAAGATTTGTAGGTCTTAGATCATCTGACAGCTATATGTAATTAGCTGCAGTCCTAAATAGGCTGTTACTAGAGAAACTCTTATCTAGAACAAGGCTTCTTAAACTTTTTCTATTCATAACCCCTTTCCACTTGATAATTTTTTATGTGACCCCAGGCATATATACCAGGCATGGGCAAACTCAGCTCTCTAGGTGTTTTGGACTTCAACTCCCACAATTCCTAACAGCCGGTAAGAATTGTGGGATCTGAAGGGCCAAAGTTTGCCCATACCTGGTATATACAATAGGTATTAAAATCAAACATTTACTGAAAATAAACCAACATCTGCAAGGCTTGCTAAACAGGATGATTATCCTTTTTGTGAAATATGAATGAATGAATGAAACTTTATTTATGGCCCACCCTATCTCCCCAAAGAGACTCGGGGCATCTCACAACAAAATACACAGTGGCAAACATTCAGTGCCAAAAATAATACATTAACAAACTAGAAAAACTCAATAAATTATAAAACAACTTAAGTATGTAAGAATACAGCATTTTTGCAGTAAACACTACACATTGTTGTGTAAATGTATGACCTTCAGAAAGCTTTTAGTGTTGACTCCCAACGTTGAGCTAAGGAGACTCCATTTGGGGCCAGGACCCTCAGTTCAAGAAGTGGTGCTCTAGAGTATTTATTTTATGGTTCCAACGGAGACATCCTTCTCTGGTTACCTGAAATTCCTGGGCTGATAGATTGTGACTGGGTCACAGGAACAGGCTGCAGTAAGATGGTTTTACTGGAAGTGGTTGGTGGCTGTACCGGAACAGTGGTTACCACAACTGGTTTGGGTTGGATGGGAGGTTTTCGGCTGAGAATGCAGTCTGCTTTGTTGGAAGCTGCCAATTTCCCTGTAAACAGAATCGCCCTGTCAACTGAATAACAGATATTCCTTCCTTTAATCAGAAAGCAGCCATACCACTTGTTTTGGGGTCAGTCTGAACTGGAGAAAAATGGTCAGCCCCAGTTTCATGATGGTGGAAAAAGTCACATGCTTTTCTTTATGCCAGAAAGAAAATGTGGTGAGATACTTTTTATGCACTGAGTGTGTCTGAAGCTTGAGAGTCTTTCCACAGAAGAAATGCACGTGAATTCAAATGTATACATCCAAAAACAAGTGGTATCTGAGGAGGCCGCTAAACTTTCTTTCATTATAGATAATCTTATTATTATCATCACATTAACTAGGACTCTCATAGGCTGACATAAGGAACTTTTGCAACATCATTCGGCTCTTGTAGTATTTGTTTACCATTTCATCCATTTATACATGACAAAGTCACGAGGTTCCATTTGCACTCACTTCCCCTTTTATCTCCCCCAGTATGTACCTGTATCAGATGCTGGAACGACACTGATGTGGACAGTGCCAAAGGGAGGTGAAAGAACATCTCCAAACATGCAGGGAGGGGTTGGTGGGTGCTCTGCCTTCACTCCAACCACGTCAGCTGGGCTAGGGACCTGTGAGAAAAAGCACCGGTCTCAATACAAGAGGTCAAAGACAAGGGGATAGGCTCTCTGTATCAAGGGATCAAGAAACAGACCTGTCCAGGGAGCTCAGAGGAGGAGGAAGACACCGCAGACAAATCAGAGGATGAGGCAGATGAATCAGAGCAATGAGATGAGGCAGGGGAGACTGGCTCAGACTTCACCTGCAACTCTAAAGGGAAACAGGAGAACACGTTAATAATTTATTTTTACTGGTAAACAGGACACACAAAAGAGAAAAGCAGTGATTTAAAAAACCTATACCGCTTTCCTCCGTGCATACAACATTTCTTTGCAGTCCCTACAGTTGGCTTGATCCTGTTTAATTGCTCTGTCTCCTATGCTACTGCACGTTTCTATCCACCTTACTGAACCACCCTATCCTTTAACCAGTTCGCATAGTAGCCTCCTCCCCCCCTCCAAAATTTGTTGTTGCTTTTTTATTATTGTTTATGCTGTTTTATGCTATTTTAATTTGTTATTGTTCTGTTTTTAATTGTATTTTGCCTTGTAAGCCGTCCCGAGTCCCTTCAGGGGGATGAAAGTGGGGTAGAAAAATAAAATATTTCTTCTTCTTCTTCCTCCCCTTCCCCTTCCTCCTCCTCTTCTTCTTTCCCAACAATGAACCTGACGAGAGCCATCATCATATGGGCCTCCAGTAATTTAAATCAGGATAGGTGAATCTTTGACTTCCCATAACAGCAACACTGAATGAGGCTGATAAAAGCTGTAGGTGAAACCTTTCCGGAACAACCACTTCTATTCAGCTTCAACAGCCTCCTATTCCACAATAGAGAGATCCCAGACCACATGATCTTGCACTCACATTTACTGCCTGTAACTAGCTATCCAACAGAAAGTAAAATCCTCCAGCAGCACTGCTTGGGAAACTGAGGAGGTTCTCCATGTTGTAGCTTACACATTTCAAACCTCCCTTTCCTGGGCAAGGTTCTGAAGCGAGTGGTGGCTTCCAAACTCCAGGGATTCTTGGATGAAACTGATTATCTAGATCCCCCGCAGTCTGGTTTTAGTCTCAGAACAGAGACAGCTTTGGTCACCTTGGTGGATGACCTCCGCAGAGAACTAGACAGGGGGAGTGTGTCCCTTCCGGTTCTCCTGGATCTCTCAGCACTTTTGATACCATCAACCATGGTATCCATAGTCTGGGGGTTCTCCTGAACTCATTGCTGATGCTTGAAGCTCAGGTGTCAACGGTTGCTGGGAGAGCCTTTGCACCGTTAATAATAATAATAATAATAATAATAATAATAATAATAATAATCTTTATTTATACCCTGCCACCATCTCCCCAATGGGGACTCAGGGCGGCTAACATGAGGCCAAGCCCAAAAATAATACAGCAAAATAATATACAAAACAATAGAAAATTAAACACAACAAATGCATAATGCAACAAAACAAAATGGACAATGCAAAATTAATATAATAAAATCAATCATAGAGGGTGGGCCAAATGTGCAAGATAAAATGTTAAAAACATTAAAACACTGGGTGAGATAGGATGTAGAAAAAGTGTATTTGTAAACGAGGAGCCCGAAAAACTTGTGCGCCAGCTGCAACTGTACCTCAAAAAGCCTGACTTGACCATGGTAGTCCATACCTTAGTTACATCTAGAATGGACTACTGTAACACACTCTATGTGGGACTGCCTTTGAAGACGGCCCAGAAACTGCAATTAGTGTAAAGATCGGCGGCCAGATTACTAACAGGGGATAATTATAGGGAGCACACAATGCCCCTATTAAAGCAGCTTCACTGGCTACTGACAAGTTTCTGGACTCAATTCAAAGTGCAGGTTATAACCTATAAAGCCCTATATGATTCAGGTTCAACCTATCTTCGAGACCACATCTTCTTCTACGAACTGATGCGGGCTGTGAGATCTGCTGGGGAGGCCCTCCTCTCGGTCTCACCTCCATCTCAAGTGCGGTGGAGACGAGAGAGAGGGCCCTCTCGATGGTGGCTCCCCGGTTTTGGAATGCCCTTCCAAGAGAGGTCAGGCTAGCCCCCACTCTCCAAGCCTTCCCAACACAATTGAAGACATGGCTTTTCAGACAAGCCTTTGACCATGTTTAGTAATTCTTAATGAATAAATTCGAGGACCTAGAGATTATTTCACCTGGCACTTTATGAGACTGATATTGATTGCAGTGTGTTTTATATGTGCAACTATTGTTGCATTTTATTGATTTAACCAGTGGGGTTTTATGTTATGTTGCTTGTTGTTGCTTTTATGCTATTGTTTATGTACTTGTTGTATTTTGTGTGTTTGCACCTTAAGTGCTACGTGAGCCACCCAAGTCCCTTTGGGAGAAGGTGGTGGGGTATAAATAAAGTTTTTATATTATTATTATTATTATTATTATTATTATTATTATTATTATTATTATTATTATTATTATACAAGCCATCAAATCTGCTTTTTTCCCTAGAAATAAAACTGATCTATTTTCCCCAAAGTACTCAAACAACTTATCTGGTGTGAGAATTCAAAGCTGAAAAGACCAAATGTGTTGTTTCCCTTTGAGAAGAAGGTATCTGCACCCCTTTCACAGCGAAATATACTGCCACTGTAAGCTTAACGAGATTCTAATAAAGGCTTCCTGCCAGAGACTTTTCACTTGACAAAGTTATTGACACCAAATTTGAAATGGCTCCAGTCACAGATCGTTATCCACCTACATATTCTCCTTCCGACACACCTCACTTACCAAGCAGTGCCACGTCAGGCTATGTGCTTGTTTTCAAACCCACACATTTAAGTGTATCCATTTGGTGGGGGAAAAGGAAAGCAAACATGCATGCTAATTAGTATACCTAGAGCAGATTCATTCTGTTTGAAATCTGCATTATGGCATTATGATCTTCGTAGCTTTCAAATTCAGTGGACCACTGCTAATTTTTTTCAGCTTGGATTTTGGGAGCACTACCCTTCTCTATAGCCTTAAAATGCACTTGTCTACACTTGTCTACAAACAGAATGGGGTAATGTTGCCGGCACACTCTAAGCTGGAATCAAAGAGTGCGAAATTTATTTATTTATTTTTATTTTACAGTATTTATATTCCGCCCTTCTCACCCCGCAGGGGACTCAGGGCAGATTACAATGTATGCATATATGGCAAATGCCAAAGACACACAACAGATATAGACAAACAGTCAGAGGCTATTTAACTTTTTCTGGCTGCCAGGGGAGCTGTCGCTTCCATCATCCATCTGTGACACTGATGAAGTACTTCCTCATTCCCCGCATGTTTTTGCTGGAGTGCTTTGCTGGAGTCTTTTTTTATGGCCTCATAAATTTTGTTAAATTAGCCTCCCCACACATAGGTGGTACCTAATTTTCCTACTTGACAGATGCAACTGTCTTTCAGGTTGCAAAGGTCAACAACAAGCTATACAATTGGTCGGAAGCTCACTCTGACCCGAGCTGGCTTTGAACTCATGACCTTGTGGTCAGAAGTGATCTTAATGCAGCTGACACTCAGACAGCTGCGCCACAGTCCTGGTGCAATTAGTCCTCCCTCTTAGCTCTAATGATATAAACAGCTTCATATGAGGATACTGCTTTAAAATCTGAAGCTGGGAATGTTCAGTGACAATCTGAAACCACCAAACTAAATCTGACCCACATATTATCAGCTAGTTGACTCCTCAGAACCTCCCAGCAGTGAAAGAAGAAAGAAAGAAAGAAAGAAAGAAAGAAAGAAAGAAAGAAAGAAAGAGGTGTCATTCAATGCCAACCAAGAAATCAGATCAAAGATCCAACTAGATAACTTTCTGTGTATGAGAAACCCACAACACTGAGGCATGAAAGCCACAGTCCAACTGCAATGATCCTAAATGGATTTTTTGCGGGGAGTGGGGATCACAACTCCTAGAGACTCCCAAGTCAGCATGGCCACCAGTCATATTGACTGGGGAACTTAGAAAACTGAAGTCAAAATAAGGAGTGGTTATTGTGAGTTTTCCAGAAGCATTCTCTCCTAACGTTTCATCCACATATATGGCAGGCATCCTCAGAGGTTGAGGGAGTCTGTTGGAAACTAGGCAAGTGGGGTTTATATATCTGTAAAATGTCCAGGGTGGGAGAAAGAACTCCCGTGTGCTTGAGTTAAGTGTGATTGTTGCTAATGGCCACCTTGATTAGCATTTAATAGCCTTGCAGCTTCAAAGCCTGGCTCGTGGCTGGTTGCTGCCTGGGAGAATCCTTTGTTGGGAGGTGTTAGCTAGCCCTGTTTGATTCTTGTCTGAAATTCTCCTGTTTTTTGAGTGTTGCTCTTTAAAATATGTATTTTAAACTCTATTCCACTGTGACCATAGTGATGTTTTACATATCCATCCATTCAATCTGATATAATATTCTTTACTCTGATGGGCAATAGCGCTTCAAAGTCTAAGCTAAAATTTATTTAGTGAGTACTGAGGGTGGAAATTGGGAGCATGTCACATGCAAAATATGTACCCTTTTTTGTGTCAAATCTTAGCCCATAAGCTGATAGATAAAATTTCCATGTCAAATAAAACATATCAGTGTGAACAACATCCTTGCATATACACAGCTAGAAATTTTGAAGTCTCAATGATTCCCTCCATCAGCTTTAAAGGATACTACTGACCTGGGAAGAGAGAATCTTGCAATGGGTCCCAAGGTGGATCTGGAGGGGTTGTTTCCATGTCTAGGTCAAATCCATCACTGAACTGCTGCCCAAAGAAGAAAGAAGATATGGAAACCAAATCTGGTCATATGTGTATATGCACGCACGCCCGCAAACAGTGGGACAGACATCTTGCTTTGCTTTTATGCATAGACACTGGTGAACACTGAGGGCAGAATGTGTGTTACTATAAGCATCATTTACAAACAAGTGTGGAATGTACAGTTTTCAGAAGAAGTGGGAGCAGGACTATTTACTTATATATGCACCTTGCGTACGAAGAAAGGATATAATCCTTAAGTATCTAAGGATTATATCCTTTCTGTGTATGCAAGGTGCATATATAAATGAATTTGTTTTAATACATATAGTGTATATATAAGTGAGGCTGTTAATGCAGAGCAAAGGTGCCACTGCTGCATCTCTCTCCTTACCACAACAACAGCAAGACTTAAGCTGCCTTGTAGTCAATCACATCCTAGACACAAAGACATCTCCATATATGAAAATGCAAACTTAGAAAAGAAAGTGACGTGGAAAGAATGAAGGTGTGTGAGTCAAGGTGCAGGTGAAGAGTGAGCAAGACAGTTGGAAGGTGATTCTCACCATAGAACTGCCACAGTCATCAGTTGTAATACTCTTCCCAAGGCAGGGGAAGAGCTCAGCTGCCATATCGCCATCATTATCCAAGCAGCTGTAGAGACCTGCTTCTGTGGAGTAAAGAGCAGTGTACAATCAGCATGCAACTCAGAGACTCAAAGGTGGCTTTGCCCTTTTTTCATTTTCACAACATCTGATCTGTGTTGATGACACAAGTTCACTTTGTTTAACTCCACACAAGAAAATGCCCTATTAGTCTATCATAACAATGTGAAAGCCCAGGGATAACCTATATAATCACTCCGTAAAATACATTTCTGCTCTAGTGAATTAATCATAGAATAATGAAAGTTGGAAGACACCATGTGGGCCATCTAGTCTAACCCCCTGCCATGCAGGAAAAGCACAATCAAAATATTCCTGAAAGATGGCCATCCTGTCTCCACTTGATTTTCTATTTGGTCAGATTAGCTGGAGACTTTGGAACTTGTTGGACTGCAGCTGCCATCATCTTTCATCATTCTAGCCATGCTGAAAGATGCAGTCCAACTTCTACTTCTGGAACTAAAATGACAAATTTAAAACTGGGGAAACTGTAAATACATGGAGTGACAATTCACATTACAAAATCTGAAGTTACCTGTATTTGCATATATGTAGATAGAATCATAGAATCATAAGAGTTGGAAGAGATCTCATGGGCCATCCAGTCCAACCCCATTCTGCCAAGAAGCAGGAAAATTGCATTCAAAGCACCCCCGGCAGATGGCCATCCAGCCTCTGTTTAAAATCTTCCAAAGAAGGAGCCTCCGCCACACTCTGGGGCAGAGAGTTCCACTGCTGAACAGCTCTCACAGTCAGGAAGTTCTTCCTAATGTTCAGATGAAATCTCCTGGGATATCATTATGGGACCCAAGATGAAACACAAAATGGATTTATGTTTAATTTATGCCTCATACATAGAAACTGAAGGCAATTTTACACACTACTTGAACACCAGAAAGCAAAGGTATTGCTATCTCAGCCACGCATGTGAACAATATTTAGATTTGATAGTATTTTGGATTTGGAGGACTCCAGACTCTGGATAAGGAATACCAAATGTGTATAATAAATGTAATGGGTGACAAACTTCCAAAACAACACAAATTATACATGCTTTGATTATCTGTATGATCAGTTCACTGTAGTTCAATTCTAAGATACTATGCATGGTAAATGGTATACACGAGTTTCAGTACCACCAACAGAAAAAAGTGTTGTGTGTGCATGTGTATATATAAAAAAACTTGTGATTCTAAGACACACTTTGTTTTTAGAAATATTTATATGGGCAAAGAGGGCATCTTAGAATCAAAGAAATAGGGTATACTTTGTCTTATGTTACTCACATTTAACCTGGATTATTTATTTTGAAACTGTATTCTAGTTTTGTTCTTTCTTGTATCTCCATGTGTATACACATGCATTTTAGATTATAAACCTCTGACAGGACCACCACATTTTGCCAAGCGGGAATACACTAATCCATGTAATAATCCATGGCCATCCAGCCTCTGTTTAAAAACCTCCCGAGAAGGAGACTGTACCACAGTCCTAGGCAGTACATATTCAACTGACCATCAACTCTTACCATCAATAAAGTCTTTGTAATGATCACGGATATACAGACTCTACTTTGAACTGAAATATATCAGTCACCACTGCCAGATAGTTTAGGATAAGCAGATAATATGGGATCAGATCCTGGGATATAAGGACAGTATAGAAGGGACTCAGAGGACCTTTCCAGACAGGTCCTATATCCCAGGATCTTATCCCAGGTCTGCTTTAAACTAGGTTATATGAGTCTGCATTGCCAGATAATCTGGGATATATAGAAACCTGGGATCAGATACTGGGATATAGGGCCTGTCTGGAAGGGCCTGAAAAAGGCAAAGGCCAACCCCTTCTGAAAATATCTTGCCAAGAAAACCCTTTGGGTCACCATAAGTTGGATAAGACTTGACAGTACAGCTTTTTAAAAGTAAAGTTGGAATGATAGTTAATTGTAGATGACAAGGTAGAGTGCCCAGAACGAAAGTTAGTAATATTGATCACATGCAACACCTGCTGAAATTTTTTCTTATACATTATGAGTTAAGGTACAGTTGTCATCTCCAGATTTTAACCTGGCAATCCTATCCAAAACCCTATGGTGGAAATATAAAAGGGATTTAAGGAGTTGTTAAATGCACTTGGATATGAGCTTTAGAATGACACTTGTAAACCAGCTTTAGAAGGAGACATGATAGCCATGTTTAAATATGTGACAAGATGTCATGACGAAAAGGGAGCAGGCTTATTTCCTGCTGCCCTGGAAACTAGGATCCAGAGCCAGTGGGAGCTAGAAATAATATCATACAAAAGCTGACTGGTACAACCTGAGGATCACAACCAGACACAGTGAAGACACCTGGCCTTGTGCTTTGCTACTCTGCTGCTGAATGCACATGCCCAGTGTGGAATACATCTCACCACGTTAAAACAGTGGGTGTGTCTCTTAATGAGACATGCCGCATTATCACGGGATGCCTATGCAATACACCGCTGGAAAAATTATACTGTTTAGCCAGTATTGCACCACCTGATAGGTGCCGGGAAGTAGCACCGATCAATGAAAGGATCGACATCGCTGGTCCATCCTCGGATCCTAAGCCAGCATGTCAACGTCTTACATCAAGAACCAGCTTCCTAAGATCTACAGAGATACTGGCAGGAACACCCCAGAAAGCAAGAGTCCAAAAGTTGCAGGCAAAAACTCAGAACCTCAATCAGTGGCTGATACCAGATGAGAACACCACCCCCCCCCCCCCCCCCCAGGCACACAGATGACTGACCGACTTGAAAGGCACTGAACAGACTGAGCTCTGGCATCATGAGAAGAAATGGAGCTACAAAGTGGAGTCCATGACATGCGAGTATGAAGGAGAGCAAACCACAAACCACTTACTACAATGCAACCTGAGCTCTGCCACATGCACTACGGGGGATATTCTTACAGCACTCGATGGGCCAGTTTCTGGTCAAATGAAATTTAGCATTTATTTATTATTTATTTACTTCATTTATACACCGCTTTTCTCAGCCCATGGGCGACTCAAAGCGGTTAACAATAGCAAAATTCAATGCTCAACATAATAAAAACAGTTAAAAAACAATTAAAACAATGACATAATAAATAATCAATTAAACATAACTATAACATTTCATTAACGTCTCATAGGTAGAATCAAGATCCAGTCTCATAATCCGTTGTTCCATATTCCTATATTCAATACATTGCCTATTCAAATGCCTGCTCGAATAACCAGGTCTTCACTTTCCTCCGAAATGCTAATAGGGAGGGGGCCAATCTAATTTCTGTAGGAAGGCCGTTCCACAGCCGAGGGGCCACCACTGAGAAGGCCCTGTCTCTCGTCCCCGCCAGATGTACTTGTGATGCAGGCGGGACCGAGAGCAGGGCCTTCCCCAGATGATCTTAACGTCCTAGCTGGTTCATAGGAGATGTCAGAAGAACAACAGCAAAAATTCTACATAAGGAGGAATTTGCATTAAGTCACCTTTGTATTCTTTATGTAAATTTAGAAAATGTGGCGGCCGTGACAGACTTTGTAATTCTAGACTGTGATGCAGATGCAGACTGTGGCCAGGAAATCAGAAGACGCTTACTTCTCGGGAGGAGAGCAATGTCCAATCTCGATAAAATAGTAAAGAGTAGAGACATCACACTGGCAACAAAGATCCGCCTAGTCAAAGCCATGGTATTCCCTGTAGTAACCTACGGATGTGAGAGCTGGACCTTAGGGAAGGCTGAGCAAAGGAAGATCGATGCTTTTGAACTGTGGTGTTGGAGGAAAGTTCTGAGAGTGCCTTGGACTGCGAGAAGATCCAACCAGTCCATCCTCCAGGAAATAAAGCCCGACTGCTCACTGGAGGGAAAGATACTAGAGACAAAGTTGAAGTACTTAGGCCACATCATGAGGAGACAGGAAAGCCTAGAGAAGACAATTATGCTGGGGAAAGTGGAAGGCAAAAGAAGAGGGGCCGACCAAGGGCAAGATGGATGGATGGCATCCTTGAAGTAGGAGCCCCCGGTGGCGCAGTGGGTTAAAGCCCTGTGCCGACAGGTCGCAGGTTCGAATCCGGGGAGAGGCGGATGAGCTCCCTCTATCAGCTCCAGCTCCTCATGCGGGGACATGAGAGAAGCCTCCCACAAGGATGATAAAACATCAAATCATCCGGGTCCCATGGGCAACGTCCTTGCAGATGGCCAATTCTCTCACAACAGGATTTTCCTGACACTACCAAAAAAAAAAAAAATCATTGAAGTGACTGGACTGACCTTGAAGGAGTTGGGGGTGGTGACGGCCAACAGGGAGCTCTGGCGTGGGCTGGTCCATGAGGTCACGAAGAGTCGGAGATGACTGAACGAATGAACCACAACAACAAGGACCCTCTGGTCATCTGCACATCAGGAAGAACTTCCTGACTGAAAGAGATGCTCAGCAGTTGAACTCTCTGTCTAGGAGTGTAAGCTTGGAAGCTTTTAAACAGAGGCAGGATGGCCATCTGTCAGGATGCTTTGACTGTGCTTTTCCTGCATGACAGGGGGTTGGACTAGATGGTCCTTGGGGTCTCCTCCAACTCTATTATTCTGATTCTATAGCTCTATCCTTCCTCTTGAAGGTTTTTCTTCCAACTCAGCACTCTTCCAATCAATAAACCAGCTTCCTCCAAGCTGAGGCCTTCCTGACATCTGGGCCTACAACTCCCAGGAGCCCTCACCAGCTTGTTTAATGCTCAAGCATTCTGGGAGTTGTAGGCCCCAATTGCGGGAGGGCCGCCTTTTAGACAGGCCTGCCCTGCTCTTCCGCTCCAAACGCTCGCCTTTCTTCCCTTGCCTCCCCCTTGGCCCGCCATTCACCCCAATCCTCGCTGCTCAGCAAATTGTCTTCGCGGAAGCGGCTCGAATCGCTCAGCAGCAGCAACTCCGAAGCCAGCGCCGCCATCTTGCTTCCGCTTTTCCTTTGCAATGACTCCCACCCACTGATAACCATAGCAACTGCGAGAACCAATCGAAAGCCTTCCCTTGGATAACGTTGGACCAATCGGAATGTGAGAAACCCAGAGGAGGCGGGACGAGGCAGGACTATCAGGCCTGCATACGGCAGGAAGAGATAAATACACGTGAGGAAGCAAAGGGACTGCAGTTAGTGCGCATGCGTCTTCCGCAGAACGCTGCAAAGGGTGACTGGAACTACGCATGCGCAGTGAGAGTCTAACAAATTGTTAGCATGAAACTGGCGTACGTTGCATTTTGCACATGCGTGAGAAGCAGTCTATGCGGAAGGAGAGGCTTCGCGCGAGTGCTGCTGGGAGTTGTAGTTTATTTCCCATTCTGAGTTTTTCCAGGGATGGTTTCCCCCATTCAGTCCATTTATGAGAAATACATCATTTTTGGCCTTTTAGAAACCAATGAATCGTTGACCCGAAGAGCTCGAATCCTGTGCCAAGTTTAGGTAAATATGTGTAATATTTCTTTTATTAGCATTTCATATTTTAACTTCATACACTGTCTGTTTTCTACATTTATACTTTTATTATTAATGCTCATATATAATAATACTTTTATTATATATGCATTGTTTAAATTTGTTGTTGGCTGTCCTCAATCCCATTATTTGGAGAATATTGAAACAAAAATGCAATGATTATAATAGGGTGATAATAATATAAAATATAGTAATATAATTTGTAATAATATATAATAATGAAATAATATAATATAATAATGCAATAATAATAATATAATAAGGTTGTATGATATTTAAAAATAATGCAATGATAATAATTTACAATATAATAAATAGAATATATAATTATATAAAAACATAGAATCATAGAATCAAAGAGTTGGAAGAGACCTAATGAGCCATCCAGTCCAACCTCCAAGAAGCAGGAATATTGCATCCAAAGCACCCCTGACAGATGGCCATCCAGCCTCTGTTTAAAAGCCTCCAAAGAAGGAGCCTCCACCACACTCCGGGGCAGAGAGTTCCACTGCTGAACAGCTCTCACAGTCAGGAAGTTCTTCCTAATGTTCAGATGGAATCTCCTTTCTTGTAGTTTGAAGCCATTGTTCCGTGTCCTAGTCTCCAGGGAAGCAGAAAACAAGCTTGCTACCTCCTCCCTGTGACTTCCTCTCACATATTTATACATGGCTATCATATCTCCTCTCAGCCTTCTCTTCTTCAGGCTAAACATGCCCAGCTCCTTAAGCCGCTCCTCATAGGGCTTGTTCTCCAGACCCTTGATCATTTTAGTCGCCCTCCTCTGGACACATTCCAGCCTTGGATACAGGTTGTTCAATCCTAGAGTCCAAAATGTAAAAAAGGAGCAATTTCTTGAAGCTCAAGTCACCGTATCCATTTTGCACCCTGTTGAATAAGAAACCTCCACCTATATAAGGAAGATTGCATAAGGATGTGGTTCTCAACCTTCCTAATGCTGCAACTCCTTAATACAGTTCCTCATGTTGTGGTGACCCCCAACATTATTTTTGTTGCTACTTCATAACTGTAATTTTGTTACTGTTATGAATCATAATGTAAATATCTGATATGCAGGATGCATTTTTATACACTGGGCTAAATTAGGCACAAATACCCAATACGCCCAAATTTGAATACCAGTGGGGTTGTGGGGGGGAGGGACTGATTTTGTCATTTGGGAGTTGTAGTTGCTGGGATTTATCGTTCACCTACAATCAAAGAGCATTCTGAACTCCACCAACGATGGAATTGAACCAAACTTGGCACACAGAACTTCTATGACTGACAGAAAATACTAGAAGGGTCTGGTGGGCATTGGCCTTGAGTTTTGGAGTTATAGTTCACCTACATCCAGAGAGCACTGTGGGCTCAAACAATGATGGATCTGGATCAAACAGGCATGAATCCTCAATATGCCCAAATGTGAACATGGCTGGAGTTTGGGGAAAATAGACCTTGATATTTGGGAGTTGTAGTTGCTGGGATTTGTAGTTCACCTACAATCAAAGAGCATTCTGAACCCCACCAATGATAGAATTGGGACAAACTTCCCACACAGAACCCCCATGACCAACAGAAAATACTTAAGGCCATCATCCAACTCCCTTCACCAATAATGGGTGGGAATTGGGGGAAGGTAATAAGATCATGGGTCTCTCTCAGTGGGAATTGTCTAGTTAGCTGGGAATTATAGTCTANNTATATATATAATAATACAATAATAATATAAGGCCATATAATATATAATTGTAATATAAAATATATATTGAAATAATAATGCAATGATTATAATAGGGTGATGATAATATAAAATAGAGTAATATAATTTGTAATAATATATAATAATGAAATAATATAATAATGCAATAACAATAATATAATAAGGTTGTATGATATTTAATAATATTGCAATGACAATAATTTAAAATATAATAATAGAATAGAATATATAATAATATAAAATAATGCAATAATATATATAATACTACAATAATAATATAAGGCCATATAATGTATAATTATAATATATATTAAAATGCAGTAAATAATGTAATATATAATAATATATATGCAACTTTTGGATGGCATGTTTTAATATTGAATATTGAATGTAATTTTAAACATTTTATATGTATTATTATTTAATCCAATTGATTTTAAACTTAATATTATATGTGTTTAAGGCAATAAATAATTGCCATGTGTAAGCTGCCTTGAGTCCACCTTGCGATAGAGAAAGGTGGGGTATAAATGATATTCCACATAGTCACCTACAGTTTTATTATTATTATTATTATTATTATTATTTGTCATGCCAGGAGCGACTTGAGAAACTGCAAGTCGCTTCTGGTGTGAGAGAATTGGCCGTCTGCAAAGACATTGCCCAGGGGACGCCCAGATGTTTTGATGTTTTTACCATCCTTGTGGGAGGCTTCTCTCATGTCCCTGCATGGGGAGCTGGAGCTGATAGAAGGAGCTCATCTGCGCTCTCCCCGGATTCGAACCTGCGACCTGTTGGTCTTCAGTCCTGCCGGCACAAGGGTTTAACCCACTGCACCACCGGGGGCTCCTACAGATGTGAGAGCTGGACCTTAGGGAAGGCTGAGCGAAGGAAGAGAGATGCTTTTGAACTGTGGTGTTGGAGGAAAGTTGGAGAGCCTTGGACCACGAGAAGATCCAACCAGCCCATACTTCAGGAAATAAAGCTCGACTGCTCACTGGAGAGAAGGATATCAGAAGCAAAGATGAAGTATTTTGCCACATCATGAGAAGACAGGAAAGCTTAGAGAGGATAATTATGCTGGGGAAAGTGGAAGGAAAAAGGAAGAGGGGCCAACCAAGGGCAAGATGGATGGTATCCTTGAAGTGACTGGCTTGACCTTGAAGGGGCTGGGGGTGGGGACGGCTGACAGGGAGCTCTGGCGTGGGCTGGTCTATGAGGTCACGAAGAGTCAGAAGCGATTGAACAAATGAACAACAAACCCATAGCTTGTCCCCTCCTGTACCTCCCACCAGATAAATCGCTTAGGTTATCTTATCCTTCCCTATATCCCCTGTTTTTATCTTTGCACCTGGCCCAGCCCATTTTGATTTACTCCTTGTCCTTAATATTTATTTTACTTCATACCTGGTGTTGTATCCCACTGTGTTAATTTTCTTTTACTGTTTGTTATTGTTTTTATTGTTTTAAATTTTATTTTAATTTCAATCTTAATTATTATGTGTTGTATGTATTTGTTTACTGTATTCATTGGGCTTAGCCTCATGTTAGTCTCGAGTCCCTGGAGATGGTGGCGGGGTATAAATAAAGTTTAATAATAATAATTAATACTAATAATAGATTATAGATTAGACATCAGGCAGGCCCCAACTCTGGCAGTCTTTAGAAGGAGCGTGAAAACGTGATTGTTCCAGTGTGCCTTCCCAGAATAATGAACCCTTAGCACTTTGTCCATTGATTTAGGTCTGCCCATATGCCCCCACCAACGCCCCACCTCCTTATCTCATCCATGACCAGCATTATTTTAAATCTTAATTACATTTGGCCTAGCTATAGATTTTAAAAGTGTGTTACACTATTGTCAATCGCTTGTTATTGTTTATGTGATTTATTTTAATTGCATGTATTGTTTTTGTTATTGCTTGTATTTTGTGTTGCTGGCTCAGCCTCATGTAAGCCGCACCAAGTCCCTTGGGGAGATGGTAGCAGGGTATAAATAAAGGATTATTATTATTATTATTATTATTATTTCTCTATTTTCTGTTGCCTCACCTCCATTCTTAACTGTGAGCTTTTAAGCAGAGGTTGGATGGCCATCTGTCAGGGATACTTTGATTGTGTTTTTCCTGCATAGCAGGGGGTTGGACTAGATGGCGCATGTGGTCTCTTCCAACTCTATTAGTCTATGATTCTATGGAAGACGGCATGGTGTGCTGCAGCGTTTCACAACCTGGGGGTCGGGACCCCCGGAGGGGTTGTGAGGGAGTGTCAGAGGGGTCGCTAAAGACCACCAGAAAGCACAGTATTTTCTCTTGGTCATGGGGGTTCTGTGTGGAAAGTTTGGTCCAATTCTATCATTGGTGGGGTTCAGAATGCTCTTTGATTGTAGATGAATTATTAATTTCAGCAACTACAACTCCCAAATGTCAATGTCTATTTTCCCCAAACTCCACTAGTGTTCACATTTGAGCATATTGACTATTCATGATAAGTTTGGTCAAATCCATCATTGGTTGAGTCCACAGTGCTCGCTGGATATAGGTGAACTACAACTCCAAAACGCAAACCCTACCAGTACTTTTTGTTGGTCATGGTAGTTTTGTGTGCCAAGTTTGGTTCAATTCCGTCGTTGATGGGGTTCAGAATGCTCTTTGATTGTAGGTTAACTATAAATCCCAGCAACTATAACTCCCAAATGACAATATCAATCCCTCCCAACCCCACCAGTATTCAAATTTGGGTGTATAGAGTATTTGTGCCACATTTGGTTCAGTGAACCAAAATACATCCTGCATATCAGATATTTACATTATGATCCAAAACAGTAGCAAAACTACAATTGTGAAATAGCAACAAAAATAATTTTATGATTGGGGGGTCACCACAACATGAGGAACTGTATTAAGGGGTCGCGGCATTAGGAAGGCTGAGAACCACTGGTGTACTGGTTTGAATGTTGGACTGTGACTCGAGAACAGGGTTTGTGTCTCCTTTCACCCATAGAAACCCAATGGGTGATTTTGGTTAAGTCATAGCCCCAGGTAGGGTTGCTATAAATTGGAGACGGCTTGAAAGCACAGAACAACAAACACTTCAGACAATATTCTGGTGACTTTGAACTCAGAGACGTTCTTTATTTAAATGGTGTTTGTGCTGAAACAGTGAGGTTAAGAGAGGCTAAAGGCTTCTCGGGCCCATTCGATTCCTGCAGGGGCAGGAGTGGTCCAATGAGCCGTCATTTCCCTCTTCGCCGTCCCTTATTCAGTTCCATTAGGAATGAGGCTTCTGGGTACCAACATCGGATGGGACAACAGAAGTGGAGCAGCCCTGAGCTACTGAGCAAGTGGTGGGAGGCTGCATTGCTGTCTTTTTTGGGTTGCCTGTTAAGGAAAGACAAGAAGAAGACAATGTAGGTGCTGTCCATGCTCTGTAATGTCCATTCGGTGAACTGTAGGGTAAAATTACAAAGGATTAACTTGGGTAAAGCAATTTGGAACATTGAGGCAAAGCCTTTTAAGTTTCATAAGATTGAAAGAAGCCAAATTTAGAATTGTGTTGCCTGGTTTTGAGAGGAACACTGGCTGGATCTACTGTACATATAGGTAAAGGTTTTCCCCTGACATTAAGTCCAGTCGTGTTCGACTCTGGAGGTTGGTGCTCATCTCCATTTCTAAGCTGAAGAGCCGGCATTGTCCATAGACACCTCCAAGGTCATGTGGCTGGCATGACAGCATGAAGCGCCCTTACCTTCCTGCCGGAGTGGTACCTATTGATCTACTCAGATTTGCAAATTAGCAGAAGCTCAGCGGTTTAACCTACTGCACCACTGTGGGCAGTTATAATTAAGTCCAAATTGCATTATGTGGTCAATACAGACCCATATAATGTAGTGAACATGCATTATGTGGATGTACACTGACCATATAATACAGTTCAAATGGCATTATATGGCAGTAGACACCCAGCTATTGTTTTAAAGCATAAAGTACATCTACACTGTAGAAGTAATGCAGTGTAATACCACTAACTGCCATGGCCCAGTGCTAAGGAATCATAGGAGTTCTCATCTTACAAGGGCTTACACTTTTCCACTCTCCAGAATTTGAGATCCATTTTTTCTTGCCCTGGCTGGTTATTTGGGGAGTTAAATCTTCAGGATGCAAAATGTGGGCTGCATCACCAGGCTATAGGTATTATCTTTTTAATACAGACTGTCCTCCACTTTTGCAGACTTTATTATTCATGGATTTGATTCATAAGTACTCTAGGTCCTCTAGTGCCACTCTGTGGTCAGTTTAGCCAGAGTTGATTTGGAGGTTTTGAAGATTCCTATAGAGGTGTTCTTTTAGGTTTTTTTTAAAAAAACAATATTTTAAAAACTAATCTTGGTTGTTTTCACTTTTGTTATATTTGTGTGCCCCTACTCTGGTGAATATGAAGGGCATAACTCTGTTTCCATAGCTGGAGAGACAGGGGTTCCTTCTGGAGTGTGGTAAAGACTCCTCTGGAGGTTTTAAAGCAGAGGCTGGATGGCCATCTGTCAGGAGTGCTTTGATTGTATATTCCGGCCTAGCAGACTGGGTGGCCCTTGAGGTATTTTCCAACTATTTGACTGTATAATTCTGTAAACAAAGGCTCATGCCTATGCTCCTTAGCTTGGGAAGAGAAGGACATCCTGATTTTGTAGACAAAGGCTAGTGCATATATCCCTCAGCTTGGGAGGAGAAGGAAATCAGATGGTCACACATGGCCTTATTATGGGATTGGAGGGACATCCCTGACTTCTTTCTTGGCCTTTGACAGTAGCTTGACTTCCAGCCAACTGCAGGATAAGCTGGGATAGGATTTGAAGATCCGGATTATCCCCTGTAGCTATTGATGGATATAAACTGCTGCTAATGGAAACGGCACAGGAAGACTTAGCAGAAATATTGGCAAACCTGGTCACTGAGGTCTTAGTCCAAACCCCCAGGGTCCAAATCTCTGGAAGACCCAGGTCTCTCATTGTTTAAACCCAGGGGTGAGCAACTCTGCTAGATATTGTGCTGCATCTACACTCTAGGGCTAAGCTGCTTTAAGTCTCCTTTGTGGAGAGAAAAAGCAGGGTATAAATCAACATAATAATAATGACAACAACAATAATGCAGTTTGACACCACGGCTGAATGCTTTGGAATCATGGCAATTGCAGCTTGATGGGGCACCAGCACTACTTGGGAGAGAAGCTATCAGCCTTGTAAAACTACTTTTTCCATAGTTCCATATTATTGGGCCATGGAAGCTAAAGTAGTGTCACACTACATTAATGCTACAGTGTAGATGCACCCCTGGGGGGTATCCCACCATACCTGCTTGGCACATTTTGGCATGCCTGAAGTGGTGCGGTATCACTTCCAACTGCTATTCTGGGTGATTTTAAGTCAGGAGAAATCATTAGGTTTGCAGGGGGTTAGAGGAAGCAACTTTTATTTATTTATTGACCTTATTTATATCCTGCCTTTCTCTACCCCGAAGGGGACTCAATTATTTATTTATTTATTTATTTATTTACAGTTCTTATATTCTGCCCTTCTCACCCCGCAGGGGACTCAGGGCGGATTACAGTCAACACATATATGGCAAACATTCAATGCTGGTTTAACAAACCACGTTTAACACACAAATACACCAAGGCTATTTAACTTTTTTCTGGCCGCCGGGGGAGCTGCTGCTTTCCATCGTCCATCAACGACACCGATGAAGTTCTTCCGCATTCCACATTCCCCGGAGTCCTCTTTCTTTATGGCCTCATAAATTAGTTAAATTTAAAGGCGGCTTACCTATGAAAAGTATTCAATGCCTTAGAACATATACAAACATAAAGCAACTGCCACATTTTCAAGCCATTTTGGTAGCTTCGAATTATAAGGAAGAGCTTTCTTGTTTTTTTGAGGGAGAGGACTGAAGAAAGGAGCTTAAGGAAAGATCACAGATCCAAGAAAGAGGATATCTGAACCAGGAATAGGACGAGAGAGGGATAAAGGGAAGGGCTCTCTTACCGACTTGGCAGACCTGGTTATTGCACATCAGCACCGGCTCCCTCAGTTCCTCATTCCGCAGCGATGCCGCTATTTTCCTGGCCACATAGCGGCAGACTGAAAAGGAGAAAGCAAACATATCATACTTTTCATTTTAAAGAAACTAGTAATATATATACCTTTCCCCCTTTCATCTCTCTTCCTTCACTCCTTTTTGATTTCTCTTCTCTTTCTTTCCTCCCTCTTTCCCTTCCCCTAACAACAACAAATCAGCTTCACTCCCTTTCTTTCTCAGTAATATCACAGAGGGCCACTTCACCTACCCACAGCCAATCCACTTTGATCTCTTCTTTTCCTCAAATCTGGTTCTGGAAGGTGTGGCATTTCTTAATTCAAACACCTCAATTACTTTAAGTTGGATAATGAAGGGCATGTGTGCCAAGTTTGATCCGAATCCATCAACCCATGTAGACATCTTTGTGGTATTTTGTATTTTGTCTGTTTTTTTGCTTTGTTCTGTTAGAAATGTAATATAATCGACTGGTTGCACTGACACGATAAATAATCTTTGTGGTACAAACAGACAAACCAATCAACCTACACATTTGGGCACACTGAGTATTTGTGTCAAGTTTTGTCCATAGCCATCAATGTTTGAGTCCTCAGTGCTCTCTGGATGTAGGCGAACTACAACTCCAAAACTCACGGTCAATGCCCACCAAACCCTTCCATATTTTCTGTTGGTCATGGGAGTTCTGTGTGCCAAGTTTGGTTCAATTCTTTCGTTGGTAGAATTCAGAATTCTCTTTGATTCTAGATTAACTATAAATCTCAGCAACTACCACTCCCAAATGACAACATTAACCCCTCTCAACCCCACCATTATTCAAATTTGGGTGTATCGGGTATTTGTGCCAAATTTGGTCCAGTGAATGAAAATACATCCTGCATATCAGATACTTACATTACGATTCATAACAGTAGCAAAATTACAGTTATGAAGTAGCAACGAAAGTAATGTTATGGTTATGGTTGGGTGTCACTGCAACATGAGGAACTGTATCAAGCATTAGGAAGGTTGAGAACCACTGCATAGGAAAATGCATGAAGATTTGGGTGAATTACTGCTATCATCATCCCAGGTCCATCCATCCCCCACCCAAACACTGCCAACAGTTAAAGCAAATTATGATGACAGTGTGTATGCCATATTTGGTTCAGATCCATCATTGGTGGGGTTCGCAGTGGTCTCATCCTTAAAATCTCCTCCAAAACACTCCCCTGTTTTGGTTTACTCTAAGCCTGGCCCTTGGCTTCTCAGGTTTCTACTCTTTTCCCACCCAGGTACTCTGATCTTAAAACCATCGAGGAGTTCTATTTCTTGTTGTCTTTATATACATCTTTCGACCCTGCTACATACCACCAATTATGAGTCACACCATGGTTTTCAAGAGAGAGAGCTTCCCAGGAGTGTTGCTGTGTCTTCCTTGTGTAAACTGGATTGCATAAAGGAAGGAGGGAGGGAGGAGGGATTAGAAGCTTTGAGAAAGGCATTGTGGGATATGTAGTCTTATGAAGGCAGTGGCTATGTTAAGTGGAGCAGGGGGAAAAACAAGCAAAGGACCAATTGGTACGCTTAAAATCTTCCGTAAGAAGAAAAAAAATATGTTTCAAGGCATTGCTTTAATCTGTTTCCAAAAAAATATGAAAAGACAACAAAGAGCTGGGACTGTTTAGCCTGCAGAAGAGAAGATGGAGAGGAAACATGATAGCCAAGTATGTGAAAGGATGCCATAAGGAAGAAGGATCGGGCTTGTTTTCGGCTGCCCTGGAAACTAGAACCTTTTTTTTGTCTACCCTCAGACACGTACTACTCCATTTACTTATCTCACCCAGGGTTTTAACAATTTTATTCCATGCATTGGGCCTGCCCACTCTGTATTTTTTTAAAACTATTTTTGCTGCGTTTGTTTATTGTATACCTGTTATTGTTTGCATTTTATTTCAATGTTATTGTTTATTGTATTTTATTTATTTATTTATGACATTTATATGCTGCACTTCTCATCCTGAAGGGGACTCAGAGCAGCTTACAAGATATATGAGGGGTATTTTTTAAAGTAAGGTCCGTTTTGTTGTAGACACTATTAGTTCACGCGCATACCGCAACGAGCGCATGCATCGTGTACTGGCATGCCTCGGGAACAACTGTACTCACTTTCCGCTCTGTAGCTAACCTGTACGGTTCTGTTCTGTGCTTTCATCAACAGATTTGTGAAGTGTACAGTGATACTGTTATGAGTGAAACAGTATCATCACGGCCATCTTTGAATTGCCATACCCACTTACGCACTTTGCAGTATGCGCGCGAACTACTAGTGTCTACAACAAAACGGACCTTACTTAAAAAATACCCCTTGTATATACATACAATATACTATATTATTAGCATAGTACAATATCAGTATTAACTACTAGCTGTACCTGCCACACATTGCTGTGGCCAACCTTCCCTCCCTCTTTCTCTCCTTCTTTCTTTCTTTCTTTCTTTCTTTCTTTCTTTCTTTCTTTCTTTCTTTCTTTCTCTCTTTCCTTCCCTCCCTTCCTCTTTCCTTCCTTCTTTCATTCCCTTTCTTTCATTCCTTACTTCCCTTCTTCTTTCTCTACCTCTTTCCTTCCTTCTCCTCCTTTTTTCTTTCTCTCCTTTCTTCCTTCTCTACTATTCTTGGACTGTAACTCCCAGCAGTTCTCCTGATTGATCTATCTACCTACTATCTATCTCTATCTAATCTATATATCTTATCTATCTGGAGGATTGCTGGGAGTTGCAGTCCAGGAATAGAAAATAGGAACAGATTGGGGTGATTTGAAAGAAACCAAGGAAAAGCAAACTTGCAACTTTGAAGTAGTACATTTGGAGCATCCTTCTCCCCTAAAGGGCCTGGTCTATGGGATGATGGGAGCTGTTATTTTCTCACATGCACTGTATCGTCATTGACCTTGGGGGGGGGGGGGTTCAAGTCCTTCCGCTATATTTTGGGAGGGATTTATGAGTGATGGTCACTCGTTGGTCTGTTAGGGGTGTAGTGTCCAAATTTCGTGTCAATACATCCAGTGGTTTTTGAGTTATGTTAATCCCACCAACAAACATTACATTTTTATTTATATAGATTACTATATGGTATTATACCATTATATTGTAATATTATTAGTAATATTACATGTAATATATAATTATAATATCATATTAGTATTATTAGTATTATATTGCATTATATTATAATATTATAAATATTATATGTATACACAATATATTATATTATTTTATTAACATAATTTTAATTTGCTGTATTGGCCTCATGTTAGCCATCCCAAGTCCCTTTGGGGAGATGGTGGCAGGGTATAAATAAAGTTGTTTATTATTATTATTAATATTAGTACATAGTACAAGTTGGGGTAGAATGGGACGTGGGGCACGTTCACAACTTCTTCCAATCTGCATCTCTCCTTTTTCTTTTCAGTTCTCGCACTGAAGTTCCTCATCACAGGCTTCTGCACAGCCAACTTCTCTGCTTTTCTACAACCCATTACTGCACTCAGAACCTGTTTACTGAGCTGAGAAATAAAGAAATGGCCAGTACAGAATCGACTGCTGGGGAAACTATGGCTCTGGAAGGAAAGGAACAGAGCATGGAGTCCAACCAGGAAACACCTAAAGGTGAGGGGAATGACCATGATGGATGTCCTGGAGGCAGTCAGAAGGAGGGCAGAGTGGTGGTGAAAGGAGAAGACCTGAAAGAGAACCTGCCTCCATCCAACCAGCTGCAGTCGACCAATGGGAACGTTCACTGGTCGTGCCCAGACGGCACGTTTATCAAACTGGTCCAGGAGCCTGGCAAAGGTTTAGATAAACCCAAGGAAGGTTCAGTCTGCCGTGTCTTCCTCGAGGCCGACCGTGAAGGACCCCTCAGTTACCCGTCCCGCCAGTGGGCTGAGGTGGAGCTGGGTGGGGGTGATGCCGAATGGGATGGGATGGTAGACCGTTGTCTGGAGACCATGCTGGCCGGGGAACAGGCCGAAGTGAGGTTGAGGGATGGAGGCACCATCATTGTGCAATTGGCCAGCTTCACAGAGGCCAAAGACAGCTGGGAGATGAGTGCCAGTGAGAAGTGGAGCCTGGTGCTCAGCAACAAAGAGCGTGGTGGTGAGCTGTACCGTGCGGGAGAGGTTGGCGCAGCTGCCAGGCGCTACGCCAAAGCCTTGCGTCTGCTTGTGGTGGCTGCCCCTCCTCCAGACTACGACCAAATTAAGGCTGAGCTCCATGCCAACCTGGCCGCCTGTCAACTGAGGTTGCGCCAGCCAGCCAACGCAGCCCAAAACTGTACCAAGACGCTGGCGCTGCAGCCAGCCAACACCAAGGCGCTCTTTCGGCGGGGCTTGGCTTACGACGCCATGAATGACCTGGAAGGAGCGGCGCAAGATCTGAAGGGGGTTTTGCAAGTGGAGCCCGGGAACCGAGCTGCCCGGCGCGAGTTGGAGCGGGTGACAGAGCGCATCAAGGCGCGCGATGCCAAACTTGCTCGGGCCATGCAGAAAATGTTTGCTTGAGAATAACAAAGCAGTGTTTTCTCTTAAACTCTCTTTGCATCCTTTTCCCTGCAAGTGTCTCAAGGCAAAACTATGAGGGTTATCCAGAAAGTAAGGTTACAAGATTTTTTTAAATGCAAACAATGCATATCTTCTTTATCTCTATACACATCTCTTCTCTATACACATAATAAATCTCTATCTCTGTACACATAATATCTCTATATACACATATCTTCTCTATACACATAATAAAAGTGAAACGTGTATGTGGCAGAGGTGTCCAAATACATAGACAACCTCCCCCTCCACAAACAGGCTATAGTTCCAAGTGCTGAGAAGCCTCCAAAGGCATTTCCTCCACTGACATTGCAGATTATAGCGAGCGCCATGTACATGTAGGCCAATGTCCTCCCCAAGAACTACAGCCCACCACCATGCATTTTCATTCGGGGAAAATTTCATCCTAGATTTGACATTTTTCCTCCATCACAGGCAGTCATCCGAGAGTTCCTTGTGTGGAATTTGCATGATCCTGTACACTGCCTCTCCCTTAACCCTTTCCTACCCTTTCCTATGGTAGACAGCAAACATAAAGGAATAGATCAGCAACTGAACAGACTGGAGGAGTTTGGGAGACTGACTCAACAGGATGGAAGTTGTAGTTCACCCTGCATCATGTCAGAGCACTGTGACACCAACCTTGTCCCCCCTCTCCCGGAGCACTGAACCCAGCCAACGACAGATCTGTACCAGACTTGGCACACACCCCCAACATGGCCAACTGTGCATACAGGCCTGGTTTGGAGAGGATTGACTCACAATTCTGGGAATTGTAGTTTACTGACATCATTATGTATTTTCTAATCGGAACATTAATAAAAATGAAATCAAAGATTGGCTTTTCCTTAATAAATTGCGCTACTAATTAACTAGAAATTAAATAGGAATTATGTTGACGTCTGTACCAGTTTCCAAAACAGAATGAGAAAGAGGAAAAATTATCACTTTTGCTCCAGAAACCTGGCCAGTTGAGGTACGCCGTTCACCAAAACCCCAGAACAAACAATGCCTTTTTCAAATAACCCGGGTACTGCTGGAACCCCCAAGCTAGTATTTTAATAAAACTTCCATGGATGTAGCATAGGTATTATTCTGTTTTTCCACATAATCACCATTCAGTTCAATACATTTTATCATCCATGAATAAGTTTTTGATGTCTATGTCATAGAAGTTTCCCTCCACCTTTTTCAGCCAGTTTGTCACTTCAATTTTCACCTCGTCATCATTGGAAAAGTGTTTTCCACCCAGGGTTCCTTCAATTTAGTGAATAGATAATAGTCACTGGGTGCGAGATCAGGGCTGTGAGAGGGGTGGCTTAAAACATCCCAACCAAATAAAGCCAATAACTCTTGTGTTGCATGAGCTATGTGTAGATGCGCATTGTCATGAAGGAAGCAGACTCCCAATGTCAGCATCCCACGTTTGTTTTGGATGGCTCTGTGACATTACATCCTTTCCATAAACTGAAACGATTTTGCGACGAATCACAGCGGTGTTCATGCCCTTAGCGTTTAGGGGATTATTATAATGTGAACTTTGCATTTGAAGGGCAACGGAATGAGGATGCTCATCTCTAACTAACTTTCACCATAACACCAGTTGATGAGCTACTGACGACTGACACTGCTCGTTCACTTCTGCTGGCTTCCTGCTACACGGCAGTGATACCAACTTCCCCCGAGAAAATTCCTTGTGAGAGCTACATGCCTTGTAATCTTACTTTCCGGTTAACCCTCCTACATGGCCTTCTTTCACAATTATTTCCTCTTCAAAACGACATTTCAAGATGGACGGGCTGAAATGTACAAGGTTCTTCAGTAATGTCATGGCTGAATGGGGATTCGAATGTTGGGAGTTCCACACTGTTCAGTGCATCATGCCCTCCTTCTTATGTATATGGAAGATTAAAATGAGGATATAGTTTTTCCTCCATATTTGAAGTTTTGACTTTTGCAAATTTGATTATTCAAAGATTTGATTAAGATGTTGTCTTTAGTAATCTGTAGGTCCTCCAGGGTGGTGCTATGGTCAACTTCTTCCTGAGATTTGTAGAGGGAAGACCTTTCCAGGAATCTCTAGATCTTCAAGTGTGATTTTATGCTCAGCTTCCAATTAAAGTTGGCCATCAAATCATCCTAAACAGTATTTCTCAACCTTCCTAATGCCGCGACCCCTTAATACAGTTACTCATGTTGTGGTGACCCCCAACCATAAAATTATTTTTGTTGCTACTTCATAACTGTAGTTTTGTTACTGTTGTGAATCGTAATGTAAATATCTGATATGCAGGATGTATTTTCATTCACTGGACCAAATTTGACACAAATTTGAATACTGGTGGGGTTATGAGGCATTGATTTTGTCATTTGGGAGTTGTAGCTGGTGGGATTTATACTTCATCTGCAATTAAAGTGCATTCTGAACTCCCATCAATGATGGAATTGAACCAAACTTGGCACACAGAACTCCCATGACTGATAGAAAATACTAGAAGGGTTTAGTGGGCATTGACCTTGGGTTTTGGAGTCGTCGTTCACCTACATCCAGAGAACATTGTGGACTCAAATAATGATGGATCTGGGCCAAACTTGGCATGGATACTCAATATGCCCAAATGTCAACACTAGTGGAGTTTGGGGGAAATAGACATTTGGGAGTTGTAGTTGCTGGGATTTATAGTTCACCTACAATCAAAGAGCATTCTGAACTCCACCAAGAAAGGAATTGAACCAAACTTGGCACAAAATAAAATACTAGAAGGGTTTAGTGAGACCTTGAGTTTTGGAGTTGTAGTTCACCTACATCCAGAGAACACTGTGGACTCAAACAATGATGGATCTGGACCAAACTTGGCACAGATACACAATATGCCCAAATGTGAACACTAGTGGAGTTTGGGGGAAATTGACTATTGGGAGTTGTAGTTGCTGGGATTTATAGTTCACCTACAATCAAAGAGCATTCTGAACCCCACCAATGATATAATTGGGCCAAATTTCCCACACAGAACCCCCATGACCAACAGAAAATACTGTGTTTTCTGATGGTCTTTGGCTACCCCTCTAACACCTTCTCGCAACCCCCCCCCCCCGGAGTCCTGACCCCCAGGTTGAGAAACACTGTCCCAGAAGATATAGAAATTCATGGACAGTTGTCCTGTCAGATAAACAAACAAATTAACAAATTCTTTGCTTGGAGTTTTTCACTTTTACAAGGGGGGTCCTGTGCCCCCAATCCCAGGAAATGTAACAAATGCGACTTTGTTACATTCACTGCAGTTATTAATTTATGTTTTCTGAGTAAACACAGACATTCATGCCTAACATGGAATTTGGCATCCTAAGGGGATTTTTGCTGTTTTGCCATTGTTTAAAAATAAGCATGTTTATAACCATTATGGATAAATGGAAAGACTTCAGAAGTGTGTGGGCTGTGCTTGGTGGAATTTCAGCAGCCAAAGGACGCCTGCATTGGATTCCCAGTGTGAAGGGAGCAAAAGCAAGTGCCCCACACGCTTCTGTCTTTGTTGCATGTGCAAGAGAACTCCCTGTATTTTGTGCTTCTGAAATTAGACCGTGGAAGTGACTAATTGTATTTGAAACAACTCTGGAGAAGTCAGCATCCTCATACTGAACAGCCTTCATCACGTTTCAATACGAGCTTTCATCTATGTGTGTGTGTGTGTGTGTGCGTTTATAAGACGTTGCTTACCCACTGCAAAGCTTAGCTAGAAAACTCTAAATAAATTTTAGAAGCTGCAGAAATTTGGGGCACACAATCAGTGTTTCCGTGTGAAAGGTATCTTTAATGTTTGTCACCTTTATTCCTTTTCTCCCCCAGTTAGGAAAAAATGGAAAATTGCCCAATTTGAGGCAGAGGGATGCATTTTCACAGCTCTCTTTAAAGAATCCTATTCCCTTTGAGGCTATTGGCTCATTTAGTTCCAATTAGCTTGGGTACCCGGTGTTGCCCAGGATATTAGAAGTCATTTTTTTATTTAACAAAATGCATTAGGTTGTGGGTGAACTACAACTCACATCATGCCAGGTTAACCCCCTGAAACTATATCAATATATCAAGTTTGTCCTGTTGGGCAAATTTGCTTTAGATACATCATCAGTGGGGTTCAGTGTTCTCTTCAGCTGCAGGGTAAACTACAACTCCCACCATGGTGAATCAGTACCATCAAATCCCTCCAATATAGTTAGTTGGTCATGAGGATCTGTGTGCCAAGTTAGGTCCAGGTTCATCATTAGTGGGGTTCGGAGTGCTCTTTGATTGCAGGTGAACTATAAATCCCAGTACCTACAACTAATAAATATCAAGGCAAATTCCCTCCAAAACCCACCAGAATTCAAATTTTGGATATGCGTGCCAGATTTGTTGCAGATCCATTGTTGTTTGCGTTCACAGTGCTCTCTGGCTGTAGGTGAACTATAATTCCTATAAATCAAGGTGAATTTCCCCCAAAGTCATCCTGTATTTTGTTTGTTTGTTGTCGTGGTGTTTTTGTGTGCCACATTAGGTCCAGGTCCATCATTGGTGGAGTATGGAGTGCTGTTTGATTGCAGGTGAACTATAAATCCTAGTACCTACAACTAACAAATGTCAAGACCGATTCCCCCCAAAATCCACCAGTATTCAAATTTTGGCATTTTGGGTATGCATGCCAGATTTGTTGCAGGTCCATCCAGCTCTCTGGATGTAGGTGAACTATAATTCCTATAAATCAAGAAGGACTTCCCCCTAAGCCCTCCTGTATTTTTTGTTAGTTGTAGGGGTTCTGTGTGCCAAGTGAGCTCCAGGGCCATTGTTGGTGGTGTCCAGAGTGCTCTTTGGTTGCAGGTGAGCTATAAATCCCAGTACAACGGCTATAAATCAAGGTGAATTTCCCCCAAACCTCTCCACTATTTTTCTTAGGCCATGAGGGTTCTGTGGTCCAGGTCCATTGTCAGTGGGCGTCTCAGTGCGCTGACTTGATGCAGGGTGAACCACAACTTCCATCATGCGGAGTCCATCCCCCAAACTCCTTCAGAACTTCCTGACTGTGTGTGCTGTTCAGCAGTGGAACTCTCTGCCCCAGAGTGTGGTGGAGGCTCCCTCTTTGGAAGCTTTTAAGCAGAAGCTGGATAGGCATCTGTCAGGGGTACTTTGAATGCTTTTTGGCAGGGGGTTGAACTGGGTGTCCCACAAGGTCTCTTCCAACTTTATGATTCTACATTTTCACTTGTATTATGTGTATAGTTTTCTACAACCTGGTCTCAGTTCGTCCAGTGGTTTTCGAGTTCTGTTAATCCCACAAACTACCATTACATTTTTATTTATATAGATACTAGCTGTACCTGCCATGCGTTGCTGTGGCAAACCCTCCCTCCCTCTTTCCCCTCCTTCTTTTTCTCTCTCCTTCCTTCCCTCCCTCTTTCCCTCCCCTTTTACTTTCATTCTCTACTTCTTTTTCTTCCCTTCCTTCCCCCCTTTTCTTTCCCTTCCTTTCTCCCCTTTCTTCCTTCTCTACCTATTCTTGGACTGCAACTCCCAACAGTCCTCCTGATCCATCCATCTACCTATCTCTAATCTATCTATCTGGAGGATTGCTGGGAGTTGCAGTCCAGGAATAGGAAATTGGAAATATGAAGGGAGTGGGATGCTCTCAAAGAATCCAAGGAGAAGAAAGCTTGCAGCTTGGAAGCAGTGCATTTGGATCCTCCTTCTCTCCTAAAGGGCCTGGTCTAGGGGACGCTGGGAGCTGTAGTTCGGAAGAGAGTGTCGATATGCTGTTGTATGTTTTGTTTGCCGGGGGAGTCGTTTTAGCACATGTGCTGTAACATCTT